GCAGTAACAGAGGCTCTCTTAGTTTGATCCCTGACATATTGTTTTGTCTTATTCTTTATTTCTTGTTTCACATCTATCCACTTTGGGCTGTGCTTCTCACCTCCCCTACAAGGATATAAGCTCCTTAAATGCAATAACTACCTTTTGTACTCCACTCTATTTCTTTCAATATCTCCTGTTGAACTGGAGTAGGTGTCTATTTTTTTCTTATTGTAGAATGAATGAAAATATTAATGATACAATGATCTTAAACCTGTACCAGTCCAAATATGAAGATACAAAAGGTATGCCCATTAATTCATTTCATCTTTAACAGTAGTCACTTCTGCCAAAAAGTTTGTTTATCCATAAAGCAAAGATTTACAGACCCTACTTCCAGACACTGTTCTAACATTTGGGAAACATCAGTGAGCAAAATATTATCCTTGTCCTCAAGGGTCTTAGTTAGAAGGTGGTCAATGTGATGAGAAAGAGAATGCACAGCAGTGTAGGAAGAAGGGCTTAGGAGGGGAAGAAAGGTGGGGACCAGTTTGCAGGACTGAAAAAAGTGGTCAAGGTAAGCTTTCCTAAAAAGATTTGAGTAAGTACGAGGAAGTGAGCAAACCAATGTGTGAGAGAAGAGCACCCAGGCTTGAGGAGAGACCCTGTGTGTTTCAGTGCCTGCACTGAGTAAGCGGGGCAGGAGATTTGCCAGGCAGATTGCCTAGGCTTTGGAGGGTTATTGCAAGGACCTTGGTTTTTTCCATAAGTGGAACGTGGAAATATTGTGTGTCTTGAGCAGAGTAGTGACATGATCTGAGTCATATTTTATAAATATAAATCTGAGAGCTAAGGAGAGCCTGTCAGATGAAGCAAAAATACTTTGGAAATTTTCCAGGAGAGAGATGATATTAGCTTGGACCAGGGTAGTCACAGGGTAGGTCGCATGAAGTTTCCAAATTCTCTATATGTTTCGGAGGTGAAACCAATAGATATTCCTGCTGATCCTGCATGTGGGGTAGGATGTAAAAGATGAGGCAAAAATAGCTGTGAAGTCTTTGGCCCAAAAGATTGGAAGGAATGATTGCCAGATGGGAAACCTGCAGATAAAGCAGAAGTTCAAGTTTGGACATGTTGAATTTAAGATGTTTATTATTTGCTGAGTAAGTGCATCTTTATGTGGCTTTATGCATCTGGAGTTTAAGAATGAGATCTGGGCTGGAAATATAAATTCGGAGATCATTGGGATTGATGTTGTATTTAAGCCTTGAAATTGAATGAGATCATCAAAGAAATTAGTGTAGTTAGAGATGAAGACCAAGCAGTAAGCCCCAGGACCCTCTAAGATTGTGAGTCAGAGAAAGAAAGGGGAACCAGCCAGAGACCAAGAAGAATAAGCCATAAGCTGTGCTCCTGCTGGTAGCCACGTGAAGAAAAAGTGTTAGGGAAGAGTGAATGATTTATTGTGTCAAATGCTGAAAAGTCATTTTTAAAAATGAGACACGAATCCATCAAATTGCAATTAAACACAAGTCCCAATTATGGGAAACAATCATTCGATTCAATTGAGTTTAGCCCCTCAGGTACTTAACTTTAAGTGTCCACATATTAGAAAGAAGTGTAGGCAACATACAAGAAATAAAAATAGAATATATAGTTTTATTTTCTTTTTCATATAGAATGTCTTATCCTCTACTGCCAATCACAGTTTTCTCCCATTAATATCTATGTATCTTATATACTCTCTTGTAAGAGGGCAACAGGGACTCCTCTAGCCTGAGTATCTCCTCAGAGGAGTTTCTGGCTCCAAGAATAAGCCTGCTTTCATATCTTTGCAAGGCTCAGTCATTGGCTGGGGGCAGCCTGGGGGAGGCATGGCATCAGCAAGAACACAATGATGAATTTCAGAAAGCAGGTGAGAAAGCTTGGTCAATTACACTGCCCGTAGTTGGAGGTTCCTGGCTTGCAAACTGGGTATAAATTATAACACAGCAGGGGCACCTGGATGGCTTAGTTGGTTAAGCCTCTGCTTTCAGCTCAGGTCATGATCCCGGGGTCCTGGGATCAAGCCCCATGTTGGGCTCCTTGTTCACCAGGAAGCCTGCTTCTGCCTCTCTCTCTGCTGCTCCCCCTGCTTGTGCTCTCTCTCTCTCTCTGACAGATAAATAAATAAATAAAATCTTTAAAAAAATGACACAACATATCTGCAATTAAATAATCATTATAATCACCAAAAGTCAGGGTCCCACAGTAAATCTATGTCATGTAAGAGTGCTATACACTCCAGTTATTCCAATTCCTGGTTAGAGAAAAGGAGCATCCAAAAACATGGAGGTGTCAGAATAGTCTATTGCATTTATTTTTACATTAAGAATTTTTGAAAAAAATGGGACAAGTTGACTTTAGTTAAAAAGTACAACTCTTTAGAGGCCTAATCACAATATAATAAAAATATTATAAAATAATATAATAATAAAATATTATAAAATAATGTAATATAAAGATATTAGTATCAAGTACTTTTCTAAGCAATTTAAATTTAATTTTATCCCTTTGGCTTTACAACACTATGATACAGAACTATTAAAATCACCCCTTGTACATGTGGAGACTCAAGCACAAAGAGGTTAAGTGACTTGCCCAGCACTCTATAGGAAACAAGTTCTACAGTCTGATTTGAACCCAGTTATTCTGACTTCAGAATCATTCTCTTAACTACTCCACTATACTTCTCCTGTACCTCCTCAGCCAATGCTGTTTTAGTAGTAATGTAGCATAATAGAGTCTCAACAAAATCCACAGAGATCATCATCTCTGAACACATCATGGATCCTTCTGTCCTAGTCACAGAAAGAATTCCATTGGGACCACAATTTATGAATTAAAAGCCAAGAATAATAATTTCACTGATATGAGCATGCTAATAGGGTTTCTCAAATTGTGAGTTAATTTCCAAATGTGGGTCATGACCACTATTGGAAAAATTAAATAAAAGACAATAGAAAACAAAATACCAGAAGGCATCACAAGTAATAGAGGTAAAGTGTGAGTGTGTGTGTGTGTGTGTGTGTAGGTGTGTAGGTGTGTAACAGATTCAGACATGATTTTTTAAAATATTTATTTATTTGAGAGAGAGAGAGAATAAGAGCATGAGTGGGGGAAGGGCAGAGAGAGAGGGAGAGAGAATCTGAAACAGACTCACTGCTGAGCACTGAGCCCAACTCAGGGCTTGATCCCACGACCCATGAGATCACAATCTGAGCCGAAATCAAGAGTCAGATGCTCAACCAACTGAGCCACCCAGGCACTCCCAGAAATGACTTATTAATTGAAGGTTGCAGTTAAAAGAAAAACAAAATTTTTAAAGGCTTTGTCCAAGGAGCCAATAAATTCTTCTTTCAAAAGGGTTAACTCTATTGCCAACCCCCATGGATCATTAGTAATAACAGTTGGCACTGGATAATCAACATGTGTTAAGTAGGAAAGTTTGGAGTTTTATCTAAACCACATAGGTTATATTCAGAATTGTAACCACTTAGCTTGTCTATGAGACGGTAGTAAGATCGGATATGGAGTCCTGAAAATTAACCCTTGGGAAATCCCAGGTAATTTAATCAGCCATCTTGTTCTCTACCAACACAATCAAAAGAGCAACGTTCTCACTAAAACACTTGACGCAGGAAAAAGCAGCTGAAAGTACCAAGGTTTCAGCTAGTTCCCACTCTTTCATTTAATATTTCTTTTTTTGCCCATTTAGTGCACTAGGCTGACATTTTTTTTTTGTTCTTATGGGCATCCCACAGATTTCTTGCATGGCAAGAACGGTAAAGACTCCAAACGTTATTCTTCCCCGACAGATGTCAAAAAGGCATGAGCATGCACTGCGTGCTGGGCTGTGGGTGGCAGAGGGAAAGATCCAAGGCAGTCATAGGCAATATCAATTTCTCTGATGCAATTATACACGTCCTCAATACTCCACAGGGGGCCATAAGTATGAGAGATGCCTCTTGCTTCAGCCAAGCAGCCAGCTCCATTTCACTGCACACCAACTGCAGGTAGAGCTCCATGTGGAGTATGGTGGGAGTTACGGCCTTCACACCACAGGAACTTAAACTTCAGCGGTGAGACAAGGCAAACAGGTGTGATCAAAGGAGATCCCTTTAAACTATATCCTTTGAAAAATAATTCTTTTTCAAAATCATTCTAAATACAAACGGTGTTTTGTCCCAAATTCACAAGAACAAATACTCCAAGCTTATAAAGCATTTACATATTCGTATTTCCTTGCAACTTGTTGAGATTAGTGGATGTTGAATAATGCATTTTTATTTACAACTTTTGTTTCAGGCCTTCTGGTGGAAGATGGCAGATGTTGACTTAAGTAAACTAATAATAATAATAATAATAATAACTTAAAATTAAAAATTTCTTTGGAAGAAGAGCATGAAACAGTGGCAGAAATGCAGTTATTCTAGAGAAGGCACATACATGTAAACAACGACTGAGCTTTAAGGGTGAAAATGAAGGAATCTTCCTTGATATCTTCCCCAGTCCTTTTAACCAAAACCTCAGTCTCAATCTTTTCTAAGAAACAGGATAAAATCTGAAGTCCTGTGCATTTATGTCTATTTTAAGTTGTGTGTTGGGAAAAAAAAAAATCTCTATCCCCCAAAGTTGTAATATCTGAAATGTGACGACTGCTTTTGAATAGACTTGCGTCCCACAAGAATGTCATGCAGCGGGTGATACAGACTGCAGCCTAGGATGAGACATAACTCCAGCTTTCTTGGCCAGTACTTCAAGACGTGATACTGATACCCAAGTTGTGTGATTCCAAATTTAATCATCTCTACAGGAGGAATAAAGGAACTTATGATTTAGTGTACGATTGTGTGTATCCTATGATTCCACAATAAACAGTTTTCACAGGTCCTCAGAAATGCAAACTATTAAAATCTGCAAAGAGATTCAGTAAGAAGAATTAACACCCTCCTCTGATTGGATCTGTGATTTCCCTACAGTTAACCCTCTACATCCAGAAGCGTCACCTTCTAACACCAGTACATTACCCTCGATCTCAGTAACAACGCCAGGAAACAGCTCCCAGTTTCAAGGTATGACTTCCGTGTGCATGAATGGACATGTGCTTTCCTTGACCCCTTCTCACCAAGAACACCCTACAAATCTTTTTTTCAAACAGCTTTATCGAGCTATAATTGAAATACAAAACAAAACTGCACATCTGCAGTAAAATAGGGACACAAGGAAACTTTGAAAGTGATAGATACGTCTATTACCTTGATTGTGGTGATAGTTTCACAGGTAAAGGCATTTGTCCAAATTCATCAAACTGTATACATTAACTCCCTACCAATCTTGATTTACAAAACAGAGCTCTTTCAGAATGAGAGAGCTTTTTTTCCACTTGAAGCATCATACCTAGAGATGACAGAGGCTTACTTAAATGGGGGTGGGGGAGAGGATTGTGAGGATTGGCATACGTTAACCAGAGGTGACTTACTGCTTTTCTTTCTTAAAATAATAGGTACTGAGGACGCAAAAAATGCAAGCTCTTCTTCAGCCAGCCCCTCTTACTCCAGTGAGTAACAGATGCATCTTCATTCGTGGCAACAAATACGCAAAATGTTTGAATGTGGCTAATAACGAGAGGATTCGATTATTGACAACCTTTTATCAACTTTACTAAACCTGCAGTTTTATTATAATCCTACCTATCATCTGCTTTGAGAATTTCCTACTATTGCATCTAGTTTTAATGAGCACACCTTTGGGATTTTTTTCTTACCCTAGTCCTAAGCAATTACCACCAAGGGTCAAGGTGAATTGATGAGACTAGTCCCAGATAAGCCAAAGGGCATAGGCAGAGAGCTCCATAAAAGTGAATTGTTCACCTTCACAGAACTTTACCTTATGTTAAAAATGGCCTTTAAAGAAATACTCCATTTTAGCAAAAACATATATATATCATGTAACATATATGTATGTTCTAGGACTGAATAGAAAAAAATCCACTCATTTTCCTAGAAATTAAGCATAAGATGAATGTATATGAAGTCAATGATAAAAGATTATCTAGGTTTAGGTAAAACCATTCCATTCAACAAGTCAACATTGCATTTATCGACCTGTTAATTCATGGCATCTTCATTTTGGGAGACATCTCGCTCAAGGTCTAATATGAAACAAATATTTAACTATAACTTTGGAAGTATAAACCATCCTATAGAAAATTGGATAAATACAAGGAGGACATATGCAAGCAGATGAGAAGACAGCGCTAAATAATAACGAGGCCTCTACATCTCTGGTTGTACGGCTATGACAGCTTCGTCTTTTCATCACTGTTGTTTTAACCTGGGCAGTGATTGTCACAATAGAAGACAGATGCTAAAAACCAAACCAAAACAGCAAGACCCTCCTCTGAATAAAAACTCACCCCGATTTACTGTCACAACTCCACTCCCTTAAATGTATGTGCACGAACACACGTACATCTTTCTTGAAGCGTGTGGTCATTTTTAGAAATCATATCCACTCTGATATCCATTTATGTCCACTTATGCTATTTTATACCTTTTCTAGTTTTAAGATATTATTATGGAAAGATAAACCATAAGTGCACAGGCAGAGAGCTCCTTAAAAACAAATTATTCACCTTCACAGAACTTTAACTTATGTTAAAAATGGCCTTGAAAGAAATGCTTCATTTTAGCAAAAACATATATATCATATACCATATATGTGTATTCTATGACTGAATAGAAAAAATCCATTCATTTCCTTAGAAATTGAGAATTTCTGAGTTTTTTAGGAAGCCAACATCATGACTAGAGCAGTTCCAGTATGGGATAGATAGATAGATGATAGATAGGTAGGTAGGTAGATGATAGATAGATAGATAGATAGATAGATAGATAGATAGATAGATATTCCAGCAACCTTTTTATGAAGTAGTAAGGATATAATGTGTGAATGTGGGTCTGACCATAGTCTAGAGGACATCTTCTGCTTCTCCAGTCTTCCATCTCCCCACTTTTCCAGTCTCTAAGAAGGTGAGAAAACCAGCTCCCTTACGTTTGGAACTTTATTTCAAAAGGCTGCAAGACTGACATCAAGTGGATCCGTCAGAAATGACAACTAGAGTAAAACCTCTGAATCAGATAAATCTTCTTTGCTGAAAATATAGTATGTTTAATAGAGTGATGTTTGAAGAAGGGAGGATGCATGCGTGCCTTTGCTCTGTAAATTCTTTACGGTTAAATTCAATAGCCACTCTAATTGACAATGTCTTCAATACTTTTTAGGTATTATTTTGCCAGTGGTGATTGCTTTGATTGTAGTGACACTTTCTGCATTTGTTCTTGTGGGTTTGTATCGAATGTGCTGGAAGACAGACCCAGGTAGGTAACAGGGTTTTGTTTCATTTTGTTTTCTGAAAGGTGAATATATGTTCAATCTAAACTCAAATTTAAACTCAAGGGGAGAGGAGGATTACAGAAAGAAATAAAATGCCCTATTGCTTGATCACAGAAATAGAGGAGAAGGGGCAGAGAAACCCACTGAGTGCTGATGAATGTAAGGGGTGAGGATTACCTGCTAGTGGCAGATATTACCAAATATGGACAGATTCTTTTTCATGAAATAACCCCCGTTTTGTGAGTGGCCAGGGGATTATGGTATGACGGAGGCATAAAACGACACACCTTAACTGTAGTGAAAAATTTTTCCACTTGCATGTGACAGAGAATAGAGGTAAGCGTTGCTAAGAATTTAGCTGAGGGGCCCACAATCTCAGGGAGAGCGTTCTATGACTTCGGCCCTCCTGGGAGGCACAGCTTCCTTCCAAGGAAGGTGTCTTCCGTGGCTGTGTGTTCTGCTAATTGATTCAGCTGCTCAGGATTGAACATGATTGCGATTTTTAGTGGGCTTTTAGCTTGACAGTTCTTTCTTATCCTCCTTAATCTCTCCAGTGACGTTTAAAGTCTTTCCTCTTTTCTTTAAAATAGCACCGCTGCTCTCAACTACAGAGAACAAACTGAGAGATGCTGGGGGGGGAATGGGTGAAATGGGTGACGGGGATGAAGGAGGGCATGCTGGTGCTGAGCATCAGATGATGTATGGAAGTGATGAATCTCTAAATTCTACCCCTGAAACTAAAATTAATTAATTATTTAACTACTTAATTAATTAATCGCACCGCTCTCTTTTACATCCTCACTCTGTTTTTCTTTTTTATTTTTTTCTCTCTCTTTGCGGTTTCATCTTCTCCCTCCTCTTAAATATTTATGGTTTCCGTAATGGCATTATATTTTTATTCTTTTTTAAATAATTTTTTTTTATTTTAAAATAGACTGAGATTTACAGAAAAGTGACAGGGATAGTTAGAGAGTTCCCATACACCACCCTGTTTCCCTTATTATTAATATCTTACAGTAGTATTGCTATATCTGTCACAATTAATTAACCATATTGACGCATTGTTATTAGCTAAATCCCTACCTTATTCAGATTTCCTAAAGTCTTCATTCAGTCTTTTTTCCATCCCAGATACTTGAGCTTCTCTCGAAGCACCTTCAGTTCCCATGGCTTGGCATTCCCCTCTCTTGTCTTAAACATTGACCTATCTTTCTATTCCAGACCCGAGCCCTGGCTGTGTGATGTAGTGTCACGTCCCCGTGCCTTCATCCGTGCTATTCCCTCGCCTAGAACATCTCGCTCACCACTTAACTTTTATAACATGACCAATCTCCAATCTATCCATGAAAGATCTAGTTCACACAGCGACTGAGAGTATCTCTCTATAACACACCATCCCCTTAAGAAGAATAGAGTGTTTTCTTCTAATCGCACAGAATTTTGTGATATTATTCATCACGTGATCGTAGAGTTACTTCTCCAGTGCCCGCTGCCCCTGCAAGATGGGTCTTAGTTCTATTGGGGTTGCGATCACAGAAAATTCCTTGGGCGGGTGGCTTCAACGACGAACGTTTCTCATGGTCTGGAGGCTGAGAAGTCCAATCAAGGCGTCCTCACGTCTGGTGTCGGACGAGGGCACTCTTCCTGCTGTCTACACAGCCACGCTCTCGCCGCGTCTCCACGTGGCAGAGGGGACAGGAGAGCTCCCTGGGGTCCCTTTTATAAGGGCACGAATTCCATTCGTGAGGACTCCACCCTCATGACTTAATGCCCTTCCAAATGTTCCATCTCCTAATATCATCCCATTGGGCATTAAGATTTAACAGATGAGGGCGCCTGGGTGGCTCAGTCGGTTAAGCGACTGCCTTCGGCTCAGGTCACGATCCTGGAGTCCCGGGATCGAGTCCCGCATCGGGCTCCCTGCTCGGCGGGGAGTCTGCTTCTCCCTCTGACCCTCCTCCCTCTCATGCTCTCTGTCTCTCACTCTCTCTGTCTCAAATAAATAAATAAAATCTTTAAAAAGAAAAAAAAAAAAGAATATGATTTGAGGGCGCCTGGGTGGCTCAGTTGGTTAAGCGACTGCCTTCGGCTCAGGTCGTGATCCTGGAGTCCCGGGATCGAGTCCCTCATCGGGCTCCCTGCTCGGCAGGGGGTCTGCTTCTCCCTCTGACCCTCCCCCCTCTCGTGCTCTCTCTCCCATTCTCTCTCTCAAATGAATAAATAAAATCTTAAAAAAAAAAAAAAAGATTTAACAGATGAATTTTAGGAGGACAGAAACAGTCCATAACATCAGGCAAGCCCTCCAAGTCACAAACCACATAGTGTTCACATTGCATTGTGCATAATATATAGCAGAACCTTACTAGATGCTTGTCAAAATAAATTTTTAAATTTCCAATAAAATAGAACCTTCCTTTTCTTCACTTCAATTCTAAATATTTCACTAACAAGAATACCACCTAGGTCTCATCTCCTGTTAAGAAGTAAAAACTGATTATTTTTATCTTTATTTTTTATATATATATTTATTTATTTGAGAGAGAGAGAGAGAGAGCATGAGCAGGAGGGGCAGAGAGAGAATCTCAAGCAGACTCTGTGCTGAGTGCAGAGCCTGTCATAAGGCTCGTTCTCACGACCCTAAGGTCACTACTTGAGCCGAAACCAAGAGTCAGATGCTTAACAGACTGCACCACCCAGGTGCCCCCAAATTGATTAATTTTAGAAGATATGCAAGCCACACTCTTCTTTACCCCATGAACAGTGTGCCCCCAGGATACCAAGGGATGCTGTTCCTACGGCCAATCCCTGACCATGCACGGCACAAAGTTCAGGACAGGAGCGTGACAGTACAAGACAAAGTTACACAAAAAACCAGTAGTGTTCATTTTAGCTCTTATTGGAAAATAAGCAGAAAACAAATAAATGCCTTTCCCTTTGGGAGTTAGTGAATAAACTTCTTAATAATGTCTGAAATATGTTTCCTTAGTCAATTTCCAGAGGGGAAATAGCAATTTTATAAATCAGTTTAATTTCTCTAAGTCTCTAAACCACCAATCCTATCTTTTATGGGAAATCGACCATTCCAAGGTGAAGCCTGTGGGTGTTGAATATGTAGGATAGGTAAAAAAAAATTAATGTGCTAAATCCATTTTTAAAAATATCCTGTACTGAAAGACTGCTTTGCATAAGAACATTTGCAAATAAGTTATTTGAAAAGTTGACATTTTCTATTAAAGAAGATGAATTGGATGAATTGGATCATTCAGGGAAAAATATATAAAATCCCTACCGCTATGGAGAGTTATTGTGGAGGCATATAATACTTTATAACAAAGTTCAGCAATTATACAATTATCCAAATCTATTTGGTTATTGTTAACTTTGCTTTCCAAACAGAATTTTACAGAATTGTTCTTAAATTAGCACCATTAGACACCCATAGTTAATCTCTCTTCAAGTATGTGGGTGAGACTTCATCAAGTTCAGAAAACTTGTAAACCCTCTCTGCTTTGTGGAAGACAATATGAATCAGAGATTGCGGTATGAAATTAAGCTTACCTAGATAATGTTGACAGTGGTCTGAGCTTTAACCCAAGGAAGAACAGCATATATGTAGAAGATAGTCTGTTGGTATGCATCTCTTTGCTAATGAACCCATATTGCAGTGTTCTAAGGAAAAATATTAGAACAGGCACGCAAAGAAGTATCAACTCATTCTGAAACAGGGTTATGAGCATCACGAGTGATATCATACATAACACTTAAAATAGGAATAAAAAATGCTGCTAAAATCCTACCGATGTTGGGAAGACAAAGTTAGATCGAGTTGGTGAACAACATATGGTGCCATGAGTTAAGTCCTAGGGATTAAGAGTCATGATGGCTTATCTTTGCCAAGGTGACAGAAATAGAAGTAGCCAAAATATTAGTGGAAATCAAACTCTTTATAAAACAATGATGATCACCGCCAGGGAATTATATTTCAAGGGCACATCCCAATGACAAGGGCTACATTAGAGGTGAAAGGAAATCCAAGAGACAAAAGTTGAGTAGCGATGGAAGAAAACCACAGCAAAATTGGGAACAGAACAGGGGGACCCCAAGCAATTACATTAGTTTGCCTGATGCGCCACAGATTAATGATGCAAGGTTTGACCACCAACATATCCTCCCTAATGTCCAAGGGTTTGTGCGAAATGAATCATTCTGAATTCTCACTCTACACCCCAAATGTCTTCTACCAGACCCTGGTGGAGCAGCCCAGCAAAACGAACAAAACATTAGTTACAGTTAGTAGCCTCAGTGACATTTTACAGAGCACTTTTGAGAGGCCGAATCAGTGGGCTCCAGATGCAATTAGAAATAACGTCTACATTGTTGTTCACCACAAATACAGTGATTTGTGTCTCCAGAAAGAGCAGTGTATAAAGGAGAGCCAAAAATTCAATTCTCTGGTATAAAAAGGTAATTCGATACTTTGAGGAAAATTTTTTTCAGAGATACTGAAATAAGCTAAGACATTTTCTGGTGTCTGTGGGATGTGTGATAATGGATAGTAGTTTCACATAGCGATATGAAACTATAAGATTAAAATTAGTCCAGAACTAAATTCAGCGGAGTTGGCCTACTTAGGACTATCCCATGAATGTATCAGTCATACCTGAGGAATAATAGGAACCATATCTGATAAAAAGGCCAGTGGGGCTGCAGGGGAGATAAAAAAGTTACAAAATGGCTTTATAAACATCTCTGCACAGAAAGTAGCAGGGGTCTTGGGGTTGTTTTTGTTTGTTTGTTTGTTTGTTTTTGTAACCAGGCTTCTCACAGCTTTAATAACTATTCTCTCCTCCCCTAGGCACACCGGAAAATGGAAATGACCAGTAAGTAGCCTCATCATTTTTTTTTCCCCAGAAGCTCTGACCCCCATTTATATAGGGGAAAAAAATAATCTTCTACTTACACTTTTTTGGGGTTGTTTTTTTGAAGAATTTGTGTAAAAAGCACAAGAAGCAGGGTTTGGCTGTTTGTCAGTACTCTCTCTGAATCATAGAGGAATTCAAACAACTAAAAAGGAAGATTATTCTTAAGCTTAGATAAGGTAGTAAAATGGGAAATCAAAAGGTGAAATGCAGGGGTGCCTGGGTGGCTGTCAGTTAAGCGTCCAACTCTTGACTTCAGTTCAGGTCATGGTGTCAGGGTCGAGAGATCAAGCCCTGTGGGCTCCACGCTCAACAGGGAGTCTGCTTGGGATTCTCTCTCCCCCTCTCCCTCTTCCCCTACCCTCACTTGTGCTCTCTCTCTCTCTCTTTCTCTAAAATAAATAAATAAAAATAAAAATAAAGATGAAATGCAAAGACAGAAGAATGAATATAAATAACTATAAGGAAATATCTCATAGAAAACATACCTAGAGTTTTAAAATAGTTTTCCCAGTGAAATTTTCAGTATGTTTATCACAGGGAATAATCTTGCCTGCATCTTGAGACAGCTCTAAGGTGGCTTTATCTTAGCAGTAGATGGTTTATTCTATTTTGACTTTATTAAAACAAAAAAGTAGTTGTTACCAATCCAGCCAGCTATTACAATCAAGCTTCTATAAAGAAACAATTGTTTTAATGTCAAAAACAAGTTTTGTAGTTAAAACTTCTTTGTTGGCCCGAATTTGCAGCCTGCCTTTATGTAGCTGTTTTTGTATGTTCATCAGATAGTGGACTTTAAAAATAATATCCTTAGGTCATCTATCCTTCTTTGTTAGAAATAGTGTCTCTTGAGATGTCCAAGTAAAGTAATCTGGGTTTGAAACTGTTTAGAATCTGAGAAAGGATAGGTGGGAATTCCTGGTTCGAATGAACAGCTCAGACACTTTACTGCAGTATCTAGGCCCTCATGAAAAGGGATATCCCCAGAACTCAGCATTAGCCCTGAAGGCTTGGAAACATCCCTCTGTCTTCCCTTTCATAATTCAGGACTGGAGACCTGTGCGACATGGACCTTGTGAGCAGTGTTTCACATGACCCGTGCTTGTGTTTGATTTATCTATCATTGCTTAACAGTGTGACAGGAACTTATTGGCTGGATTCTAGAAGTAGAAAGTGCTATAAAAGTATATATATGTCTGCACGTAAAAAGACACAGGTTTTGCCATAGAAACACATAAAAATATATATATGCTGGAGTATCTTCCGTTTATACCATGTATAATTTTTTTCACAGACAGACAATGCTAATTACGGTGGTGTTGACTTATGTTTTCTGTTCCAAATAGACCTCAGTCCGATAAAGAGAGTGTGAAGCTTCTCACTGTTAAGACAATTTCTCATGAGTCAGGTAAGCTCCCAGATTGTGGATTAGCTGAAAATGGTTATTTCAAATTCTAACTTGGATTTTGTCCAGGTGAAACACAACCAAAAAGCATAATTTCTTTAGAAATAGACAATTAGTAACTCCCCCACAATGCAAAATTCTCCTATACGGAGAAGATGAGTCCTAGAAATATTGTTTTTTGGTAAGATCATTAGACTATTGTACTTCTAGAGGTTGCTTTTTATAATATGAATATGTTCCAAAGAAGGGGTGGTAACTCAAGACATGTTCTACTCTGCGGTAGTAGCAGAAAGAACATTAAATGTACTACATGGTTTTTATTATTGCTGTTGCTGTTTCATTTTTGGTAACAGCTATCTATAGTCAACTGGAACCAGGATTCATCAGGTAAAATGTAAATCCTACTTTGTATCATTTCATACAATTTTAATTGAGCTTCCCAATGAGGAGAAAACACAATCTCTTGTTGATAAAATTTACATTTTTTTCCCAATTTCTTATGTTTTTAAATTGGATTTGAAATGTGTAAGTTTTTCAAAATATAGGTGTGATTTGTATGAATTATATCTGCATCATGAATCATAATGAAAAATGAGGTGCCAGGTAGCTTTTAAAAATGAAAAAGCACAGATTTTTTTTCTTCTTTTGAGTAGACCAAAGATTTAAAACCTCAATATTACAAAACAGATATATAAAAAATAATTATTCGCTCTAGAAAACAATCCATGTGGATCTAATTTAAATACCAAGTTACATGGGAACATTTACAATATTCAGTCCCCCATTTTACCTATACAAAATAGTCACAGAATACAGATGGTATGTCAGGTGAGAGCTATTGAATAATAAGCTCCGCTGTACATATGTAGCAAAAAACAATTTTGTCAAACAAAAAGCAATCAGTATTGTCCCAATTCAAGAGCAAGATATCAAAGGTTTAATGTGGTCCCAACTTCAGGTGGGAAATTCTAACGAGAACAAACTACAACATGCAGGCAGAAGCCTTGAAAACTGAGGGTACCCAGAATCTGCAGAGACGTGCCCAGGCCCCTCGTGAGAGTCATTTTCCCTTATGAGAGACCTTCTTCATTCTTGTATCTCTTCTACTCTTTGATGCACACATTCCCTTTATTCCCACACAGTTCTCTTGGAGGTAACTATCTGAATGGGCAAAGGAGTAAAATTCATTCATAGGATAATTGTAAACCACTTACAGGTTTCCCCCGACTATTCACCAGTCTTGACTAAATTGCTAAGCCTATTTTACTGGGTCAGGGGGGAGCAGCTTACATGTGAACTAGTCTTAAGTAAGGATCCTGAAGGTGACCACACGATTTGCCAAGAAAAGTTCTCAGACTCTGCCTGTGGCTTGCAAATCAGCATCACAATAATTTCATGCGTTCTCCTTACTCTGGTGAGGATTTAACAAAACACTCTGCAGCTCCCAGGCTCTCTGAGCTATGGGAGCCCCTGGGTCCATGTAGGAGCCCCTGGTTATCCTTGTGAGGAGAGGGCTGGGATTAGGACCACCTGCCCTACTCCCCATTTCTACCAGGGAAATGACAACTGACACCCGATTTGACACTTGGGGGTAGGAAATTTCCAGAGAACCTTGTTTCCTGGTTGCAAATTTAATATCTGAGTCTTCTGTAAGGCCCAGGGAAAATTCTACATAAACTGGTTTCTCCCACTCCCATAGTCACTGCGGTAACAAGTGAAGTAGACTATGGGGGATAGTTAAGAAGACCCTTAATTCTCTAAGATTCCTTTTCATCATAAGTACATTTTCAGGTCACAGGGCTAAGGAGGAAATATCATCATGAAAATAATAAAATCTATTCCCTGGTCTTTTTATATCTGCCAACCTCAACTTAGGAATCATACCTCTTTTAATGAGATAATCTCTCAATGGTCAACCTACCTGATTACTATGGAAGATATTTGGTGATAGGGCAAAACTGCAATTGCTCATTCAGAGTAGTTTCAATAGTCTAGAATTAATAAGCTAAAACATAATGATCTCCAAATGTTGTTTATACTACAATTTTTACTAAAGTCTGTTTCCTGAAACACTCATCAACAAATCTCTCTCGCTTCCTTTTAAATGTATTCAAATATGCTTTTTTAAATAAAACTATGCTCACTACACTCAACAGAAGTTACATTGTTATAGTTATTTTACCTAAACATCTTTTGCACAACCATGACATTTTCCCTAAAATATAACAAGAATAAAATCTGAAATGAGTAAGTTTGATATAAAAACACAGGCTTAGTTCAATTTTCCACTATCTCCTATATAACAATTTTTAGAAATACAGAAAAGAATCTGATAGAACAAATATCTGACTACCTACCACTCAGAATTGATGATTGTTACATTTTATGTTATTTGCTATGGCCTAAGAAATGCAGTGTTAATGTGCCTAAGTGGTAACAAAATGAAATTTGAGATTCAGTGGCCATAAGAACTCATTGGATTAGTCAGTACTTTAATTTATAAGCTCTGGTATTGTATCTCAGAATAAATTGTGCCATTTTGGAGGTCAATAAATCATGTTTCCAAGGAAACAGAGCTCTACAGCAACCCACCTTTAGGGGAAATGCCAGTGGATGCTAAAGTCTCTGGGTTTCCAGAAGCCTCCAAGAGCCATGGTTTTTGTTCTGATCATTTTCTCCTAATAAGATAGTTCCTTACTCCAAAGTTTCCTCTGATTAGGCCATGGTATTTATCCATGCACATTCCTTGCTTTCTTCAAGTATGTTCTCTCTCAAGCGGGTTCTTCTGCTGAAAATGTAACCCATAAATGTTTAAAATTTGATTATTTAAATTAGGAGTTTTCTTTAATGTGAAGGAAAAAGGTTGCTAGAGTACAATAGGAATCTGCTTTCAGAAACAAATAAGCACCAAACATGGTAGATCGAGGAGTCCTTTATGAGAACATACAAGATCCCATTCAACTTTAGTAAGAAATCTTGCTCAGTTAAACATCACCATGATTGACTGCAAAACATGTATGTGACAATGATGCATTTTAAACATGATTCCCACTTAATGCACATCTCAGAAAGTGAATATATGTTGTCTTATTTTTAATATCAAAGACTATAAGAATTATGAAGAAAAATTGCTTAAAATAATTAAAGAATACATAACTTCACAGAAGAAACAAAGCATAGTATCTTTGAATTTAGTTTTAAAGCACTACTTGATTTTGAACCACTTGGAAGAAGAAAAAGCAGATCCGAATTCATTATAATATTCCTCTGTTTAGAAAACTGGTAAGTTCGTATTACCTAAGATGAAGTTCAAACACTTCAGCATGTCTACAAAGGCCTTTTCCCTTGTTCAGTCTGTGAACCACTTACTAACTCATATTCTCCAGACACCATTCATCTCTGACCCCTGTCTTCCTTGCTGAACTCAAGCTCTTTTGAAGGAAGAGATGGTGCCTTGGTCCCTTTTGTCTCTCTTTCCCCTCCACCACTTCACCATTATGGTAATTATACATTATTAGTATATTATTAGTATGCTAATACTAATTAGTATGTTATGGTAATTATTAAATGTACAGTCACTTTTTTTTGCTTATTTATTTTTACAAATAACAAAAGAAATGTGAAGTGTGAAGATGAGCAAAAAGATCAAAAGATTTAGAAAGTCATACACAGATCAGCTTCAGCCCTTCAGTGTTTGGCCATTCCCTACATTTCCACCAAAGCTTCCCTGACTGTCTTCGGTGTACATGGTCTTTCCCTTTTCTGAACTTATTTTTTCATTTGGCAAATCAACATGTATCACTGTCTTGTAATATCTCTTCATAACTTATACCGCCATTTTAATATTAGACCACATTATGCATAATAAAGAATAGGGAAAACTAGAGAATAAAAAAGAATTAAAAATTACTCATGAAATCCAACACAATGCCATCACTATTGGCATTGGTGTATTTCTTTCCAGTTGTTTTTTATCTAGGTATGAGTTTCATTTGCTTTTAATATAGACATCATTATTATAACTTATTGGATTCATATTGTGATTGAATCTTTCTCATATTTTCTATTCCCAATTAGACAGCACTTGGAAGGAGATATTAAGTATCAGAATGATTTTCGTATGATTTGCTTTAGAGGACTCTGACAAACAGTAGGGGTTCAATAAGTGTCTATTTTTTTTCACTTCTTATTCCTGTACTTCATAGCCGTGGATTCCAGGAAGTGCTGTGCTTTCTGCAAAATAATGATAGTGAGCAAAAAGTTGTTCTGGAAGGCGGCTGGGAGGACTGTCGCTCTATGCCCGGCATCTCTCAGAGCACAGCACTAAGGGGTTCTTAAGGGCGTCCCAGGTTTGTTCTCCTCATTGGTCTCTGGCACTATTTATTATCACCATGATAGTGCTGGTGACAGGTGACATCAACAGAGTTCCCAGAAACAGGTTTCTAAATGACAGATAAAACCTGGAGCAGAACAGTGACATTTATTCTCAAAGCCAGAAACTTTGCCCCATACTGCTTTAGGATAGTGTGACTGATGTTGATATTTGAATCTATCTGAAAGACACACGTAGTGTGAAATGTGTTGATCATGGATTCAGGGGCTTATAAAAACACTTGGGATCTTCAGCTTCCCATCAGCCTAGGGCAATATTTATATTGGCAGATGGAATAACATGTTATTTTGAGTAATACCCCTTGTGCTACTCTGTATATCACCAAAAGTTTCATCTTGGCCTCTAAATTCATTTTCACAAAGCTCTCACTCAATTATTTAAACAGAGTACCTTAGGATGGCTTCCTGATAAAATGGCAGTTTAAACATATAACATAGTTTTGCTTAGGTTCTGGGAAAAAGCAAAAATCTATACCTCATTCTCTAGGGTGCCTCTCTTGTTAACTCACACACACACACACACACACACACACACACACACCCCACTCCCAGGGAGTTAGTCAGCATTGCTCCTTTAGGGTGAAAACAGATGATGGTGGAAAAAAGCTCATAAACCTTGCTGAACAATTTCCAGGCAATACCAAGAGACAAGGTGTGGCTCTCATGACATTCTTGCAGGGAAATTGGACTTCCCTGGGAAAATAAAAAACAAGCTAAGAAACTTTATTTTCACCCTTATTCACCCTCCAAGCTTATAGATCAACATATATCTTCTGTTTGTAGGTGAGCACTCTGCACAAGGAAAATCCAAGAACTGACAGCTTGATGAATCCTCCCCACACCTGGGCAATAAATATGTAAGTTGTTGTTGTTTTTTTTTTAATTTCATTCACTGAGATGCTCATTAGTACCTGCTTTGTTAGAGGGCTGCAGCTTAGATTATTTCAAAAGACTTTTATAAGCTGGAAAGTTAATGGTTTGTGTCAGGGAAACCATTGTCCATTTGTCTAACAACAAACTCTAAGAAGACTTGCCAGAGAAATGCGTATATTGGGGGCTGTAGAAGATTCTTCCAGTTGCCTTGCCTACCTCAGAAATGACACAGTTTATTCTGCCTGTTGGTAATGCTTTCATATAAATGCAGTTTGCCTTTATAGTCAGTATATACACACTAACAGTGGCGGTTAGACAGGGTTGGTTCTATTGCTAACGGAGGACCCAGAATGACAATGCTTGCAAATTTTCAGTTCATTGCAGGAAAAAGATATGATACAGCAGCTGCCCTGAAGTAAGGATAGGCATCGCAGCCAAAGGCAGGTTCAGGGCAAGGGGTTCCGAGGAGGCGGGCAGGAGGTCCATCTGTCCTCCCTCTGTAAAGACTATACCAGGATATACTTTCTCTGTGGATGCAGGAACCGTGGATGTGTACACAAAGCACCTCAAACAAGGTGATCCAAAAAGGAAGTCTCAGCTGGGGTTTCTTACGCCCAGCAGGTCACAGGGGCATAATGTTGCTGTATAACTAGTTGAGGGACAGAGCCGGCCAATGTCTCTATGAGAACAGATGCAAATGAACAATGTCATTACAGCAATTGTGAATCAATAAATAATTGAAATCTCCCAAAACTATGGTTACGAGCAACACTGTTATTCTGCACGTCTTCCGCTTTGACCAGGAGTCAGTGCAATGCAGATATATTTTTTTATTTCAGTAAAACAGCTCAAGCCAGGTTCTTGCGTTGTGGAATTAACCCTCTCGGTTTAGCATGGGATTGTCTTTTGCTTTCCTAGAATTGGGTAAGGTCTTCTTCTGATTTTAATTTAGTTTTCACAAGAAGCATTGATTAAGTGCCCTCACAATTAGTGTTCGATGCTTTTTAGAACTTGCAGAAGAATTTACCCTTTGGCAACTAAGAGTAAAAAAAAGCAAAAAACCAAATCAATATGTATGTGCCCAGAATTGACCTGACCACACTGGTAGGCACTCTGAGTAGTGTCCAGAGGGAGGAACATTATTGTTTCATCCACTCCCTATGCCTACTACCCAACCTCTAATACAGTGCTGTTACAGATGTGTAGAGAGTGCTTGTTGAGTAAACGATGCCTGCCATGCTTCTCTGGCCAGTAGCAGGAGATGGAGACAGAGCAGGGGCATCCAGATGTGAGCACCAGGATCACAATCCTATCCCTTTCTAGCCTTTAAGATGGATTAGAATGAGAGGAATCTGAGAGTCTGCCTATCCTTTTGCTATGGACACTTTTAGATGCAAAGTTTGAGAAGTTGAGAAATTTAAGAAGTTTGCTGAGACAAGTGGTCCAAACCTACCTAGGACATGGAAAGCTTTCTTGCATACCCACTATGGTTTCTTGGCAACCTTGTGGCTAGTAAAAAGGTGCTTTCTAAATTATCAAAATGCTTAACTCTTAGTGACTAATCATCCAATTTGGAGGAAGACAAAGTCTTCTTTTCAGTCAGAAAGAAAAACTATACAGAGATAATTACTGTCCACTTCCCATTCCTTTCCATTTTTTGTACTTTAAAAAATATGCCTAACCTTTAATTTCATGTCTTTTAATTTGCACAAATAAGTAGCTTTTGTTGCTCTTCTGTGTAATTTTGGAATTACATAACAAGATACTTTTTTTCAGTATATTTTCAGTATATTTCTCTTGGCAATCATTATACTTTGAATGTAGTAACCAATGAGTAGACTTTCTAGGTTATTAATGAGAAATCAGATATCAACTCAGAGATTCAGAATAAATAGGAATATAGTCATCAGAACTAGAAGATTTGGGAATAGAAGTTGAGAAGTCTGGATCTGTATGCAACCGCAAACACTAATACGGAAGTTCACAGCGTTAAAAATTTTCATCTCAAAATCCAATTCCAGAATAGTTTAATGCTCGGTGCTTCATATATTGATCCTCTATTTTGTGCAGAGCATTATATTTAATGTGATTTGGCAGGGCAGACAAGACTTCCAAAATACTTATGATCTATGATCTTTGCCCTCTGCAAAGCTTTGCCTAGTGGAAACATGAAATCACATATAAGAAATAAGATAATAATTAGAGAAAAAAATTAAAAGTTATGTGAACATGATTGATACTGATGCATCAATTCGAACAGATTCTAAAATCTCTGACACTTTTATACCAACAAGAGGAAGATTGATAAGGGTTTCAAAAAATATTATCTTTTCACTGCAGATGCATTGCTCCATTTAGGGATCATAATTTTTAAGAATAAGAAAAGGATTATTTTAGCTTAAACTTTCCCTGTATAATTCAGTTTGGTCCCAACTATTGGCTGGTACCACCTTCAAAATAGCTATTAACGTAAAAATAATTCATGTTAAGTTTTGAAGGCCACCAGAATCAAAGATTAGAAATATATTAGTGATATGCATTTCTTTTCTTTTTTTTTCTTTTTTTTTAAGATTTTATCCATTTATTTGAGAGAGAGAATGAGAGAGAGAGAGCACATGAGAGGGGGGAGGGGCAGAGGGAGAAGCAGACTCCCCGCCGAGCAGGGAGCCCGATGCGGGACTCGATCCTGGGACTCGATCCTGGGACTCCAGTATCATGACCTGAGCCGAAGGCAGTCGCTTAATCAACTGAGCCACCCAGGCGCCCCAGTAATATGCATTTCTATATATATTTGTGGCTCATTTATCATGCAAATGTGCTGTTATTTTCTTCTGAGATTAATTCTCTTATGACAAGGAGTGGTAAGGATAACATAGCTAAAGGAATTGATATGCTGTCACAAAGACAGACTTTCTATGCAAAAGTGTGGAGCAGGCAAAGTACATTTTTTTTTTATTGATGCCAATAAATGAACAAATTGGTCCATAATGAGTGTGGAGGTGGGGACATTAGCTAATAATGTCTATATGGAAAAAGATATATAAAGAACTAAGTACAGAAAAAGAGAAAGAAAGAGTAAAAGAAAAATATGTATGTTTTATTAAGTAATTGATTAAAAATTTTTTTAAATGTAAACAATGTAAGGAAATCCAATGGAAAAGATAGGAACTCTATTATGTCATGACTTAAAATGTCCAAATATAAAAAAAAAATTATCATAAAGAAAATTATGAAACAAAAAACAAATTGAGAAAATGTTTGGCATAAATATGAGACCACTTAACTAATATCTTAAATATACCAAAGACATTTATACATATTAGGAAGCAGAAAAATGAACAAAGGCCAGGAACAGGCAATTCATAGAGGAGGAAATAGAAATGGTAATATAAAATTACAGAAGAGTTACTATAATAATAAAAAAATGTGAATTAAGATCAAAAAAATTATAACCTTCAATTTACTTAAACTTTTTTTTCCTAATTTTTAAAAGTTATACTGGTGAAGCAAATAATATCATATGCTGCATTTTAAAGTATAAATTAGATTAATCTTTCTGAAGAACAGTTTGGTAGTATTTTCACCAAAGGACTTAAAATATTCACATTTGTCACCTAGTAACTTCACTTTTAGGAAACTTTCATAAGGACATTATTTGAAGTGTGATTAAACGTTAATATACAAAGAATAGTAGCGAACATTTAGAAACAATTTACATGTCTAATGGTATGGAAATTTCAAGTAAATTATGCTTCATCCTATCACTGACATTATATAACTTAGCAAAAGTAATTCTCAAGACAATTTTTAATTACATGCAAACATGTCCAAGGTATATGTTAAATGGGGGAGGGGACAATTTTAAAACTGAACAGAAAGCATTTGATTGGTCCACAACCAATTCTGTGCTATAGGAAAGGAGAGAGCTACTGTAACCTGCTTGCTCCCTCACCAGCAGGCTCTCTCTCCATTCTGTTCCAAGCCTCCTGACAGTTTAAGAAGCAAAGGGAGCGGGTGCTTGGGTGGCTCAGTCGGTTAAGCATCTGCCTTCGGCTCAGGTCATGATCCCAGGGTCCTGGGCTCAAGTCCCGCATCGAGTCCTGCATCGGCCTCCCTGCTCTGCGGGGAGCCTGCTGCTCCCTCTTTTGCTCCACCCTGCTTGTGCTTTCTCTCTCTCTCTCTTCCTTTCTCTCTCTCTCTGAAATAATTAAATAACATCTTAAAAAAAAAAAAAAAGCAAAGGGAGTTTCAGATCAAGAACCAATAGTCTGGATAGACCAGTGGCTTAGATGAAAATCTCATCCCACAGACCCTCAGAAGTATGGAACGTTACCCATTTTCAGTTTTCTCCCAGATACAATTCACTCAACTTCTGTCATTTCTCAATGGTGCCATGATAACTTACAAGCATTTTTGTGAACTTCCAGAAGAGTTTAACATGTTTTTCAATTATTTTTCTTACATTTTAAGAAAAAACAGCAGGGGCTAAAAAAAGAAAACATCATGGAAGAGATCTATTTTCTCATCCTTGTTATGGCCCTAAACTAAATTCTTAATAATGCTTTGCACTGGGCCCCACATCTGTAAAACTTACGACAGGAAGATCTTCTCTTTTAAGACCATTTTGCTTCTTTGCTTATAAAGTGTTGTCAGTGTTAAAGAATCTATTATGATACTTTATTATAAAAATGATCATTTATTCTTTACAAACATCACAAATTTATAAAATTTTAAAGTTGTGAAACATTCAGTAACCATAAAGTCATGCATTATCATTATTGAAGACAATACACTAAGTTTAGAGAGATTATAACATTGGAAAGGAAGCAAATACTGATATTGGTACTTTCAAATCGAAACTTCCAACTAATGAAAAAAAATCAGTAATGAAGCAAATGCCATCTCTTGAAAAAAGATTATCAATGTGGAGTATACTCTGATGAAAATGTCACTTTGTTCCCATATTACTTGCTGATCCTTGAAAAAAATAATCAATATAGTATTAATCATGAGCATTAGCCTACTCACATAAATCCAGGTGTTTACCTAGATGGTCTGTGCTACAAACTCTTGACTTCACCTGGGAACTCACCTACAAAAGAGTCTGGGTCAGTTGAACAAAAAGTGACAGAGATCCTGCTCTTTGCCAAGTATGAGACCAAGTATAAACAGGGACATGACATGTTGCTGTCCACAGGGGGCTTATAGAAGTGAAGAGAAATACACATAAGGAAGATAATTTTACTTTAATATGGTAAATAATAAAATAGTGGTATATAAAGTTAGACATGGTACCTTGAATTTAATGGCTAATTGCTTAGAAAAGATGGCATTTGAGCTGAGACTTGTAAGATAAGAAACTGCATGTATATGAAAGAAATCAGAAACAATTGGTGGGCCTAGGGCTGTGCTATGCACATCTGCTGCTCAGTCAGTGAACTGTTAATACTGTTCTACGGTGAGATTAAGTATAGAAACTGAATACAAGCCTTTAAAAATCATAGCAATCTGATATTGTTGCAACATTCTATTCATGTTATTGTATTTTCTTAAATATCATTTTGCAGCTGATTAGAAATTAAAAAAAATCTAGTCCTCACCATTCATAGTTTGAGATGCACTGGCCTAGAGGATACAGTTCAATGTCAGAAAGGCTAGAAAATGGGGCTGAAGCAGTAGAGGGCACAAGATCATGGGAGGTCTTGTTTTCCATGGTAAATCATCAAGGACTGCAGAAAACGAGAATAAAATACTTTTTCTAAGTAGAATAAAATGAGATTCCTTTCTCCTTCATTAATGTCATGCAGACATTTACTCATTTTGGGAGACACCCGGTCCTGCAACCTTTGATGTAAAATATCCAGGAAATCAGTTCCAAATTTGAGAGAGGGTCTGTTCTGCATGATCATTGAGCTCCTTCTAGAGCTACACCATGCCCTAGCATAAACTGGACCATTTGTCAGTTGCAGATACTCTGGGAGGACATCAGAAATACTCTGTTCTATGATCCTTTCCATAGACTAAACTTGACATGGATCCTGTGGCCACTCCCTGATCTCTAAACCACTCCCCACCATGGCAGCCAGGGTCCAGCTTTACCCCACGCAAAGCAGAAGTGTGACTAACCATCCCTACCAAAGTCCCTGCCTCCACCAACCATTCCATAAAAGAGCAGGGTGCAGGTCTCCACCCCTGGGACCAGGCCCACCCCACCCAGACTCTTGGGAACTGCCAGTCCTACCATCAACAGCAGGGCAACATCTTACCCCTGTCAGGTCTGGCCACTTCCCCTTTTCCACTTAGGCACAGAAGCCTCCATCTCCTGCTCCTTGTGGGGTCAACAGAGAAAGTTGTTTCTGCACTGCAAAGAAGAAAACCCCAAAGTCATAAAACAAAGCCCTGGCTCTCCTTCTCTCCTTCTTGTGAAGGAGAAGTAGAGATTTGTCTGTTCATGCTTTCCCCTCATAAGCACACAGCAGCAAAGCATAAAAGTTGCCAATAAATGTCTTCATTATTCACATTATCACCCCAAACAACAGACTTTGAACTGTGTCCCATTAATGATAGGGTAGAGTTAAGGACTTTAATCAGAAGAGGAATATGATGAGATTTGTGCTGAAGACACATCACTGAGTGTTTAATAAAGATTAATTCAAGAGGAGTAGGACTGGAAGCAGAGAAGTTAAAAAAACTGTTGCAATATTCCCTAAGTAAAGCACACGTGCTTCACCAGTTCTGCAGGTACAGTAGAGATGGTGATGAAGAGGCAGAATGGAATAAAGAAATGTCTGGAATGTAAACTTCTCCAGAGGTCACGATTGATTGAATGTGTGCATTGGGGAATGAGGAAGATTAGGAGTATAGATATGTCCACATTTCCAGCATGAGCGCCTGGGTGGACCATGGAGGTTACAGCAAAGATTAGAATTGTGCGGTGAGAAGGAACAGGTTTGGCAGGCAGTACACATGTTCCAAGACCCATAGTGGATGCCTAAAACCATGGATAGTACTAAACCCTGTACATACTATGATTTTTCCTATACACACATACCTATGATAAGGTTTAATTTACAAATAAGGCACAGTAAGAGATTAACAACAATAACTAATACCAAAATAAAACAGTTATAAAAATAAATTGTAATAAAAGTTATGTGAATGTGGTTTTTCTCCCTCTCCAAATATCTTATTGTACTGTCCTCACCCTTCTTATGATGATGTGAGGTGATAAAATGCCTGCTTGATGAGATGAAGGTGACTGAGGTAGGTGTTGTGACATAGCCTCGGGCTACTATTGACCTTCTGATCAATAGGTTAGAAGGGGGATCATCTGCTTCCAGTCCAAGGTTGACTGCAAGTAGCTGAAATAAGGAGAAACAAAACCACGAATGGGGGTTGGGGTGGGGCCACTGTAGTGTGTTTTCCTTTGGGACATGTTGAGTTTGAAGTGCTTGTGAAATGGTCAAGTGATTCTACTGGGTGGAAGAAATTCAGCAAGTTCCTAACATTTCTGAACAAGAAATGGCCCCTCCAGCATCTCTACTTCTTCACTTTCTTGGAATCTGAACTTTTTTTCCCCCCCTACAGGCTTAATCTTCAGCTTCTATGCTCCAGAGATAGGAAGGGAGACTCGATTTATGGACTCAGTCCCGATTCCAGTTCTGCTCTCCAGTCTGTGCCAGTTGCCTGTCCCAATAAAGTGATGTTCAGATGACATGCAATAATTTCTTAGAATCTAAAAGAAGCCTGGGCCTCTCCTGTCATTTGAGACGTGAAAAAGCACATTACTACATTTTTTAGGAACATCTTTAGGAGATCGAGTTTTAGGAAGGACATTTGTGAGCAGCTAACTTGACAGCCCAGGCAGGTGGGTTCATGACGACATGATCTTCCCTTGAGTTTAAAGTTTCCAGAGCCGACAGTTCCTATCCATGGAGACTTCCCTATTTTCTTGGTGTTCTTATATGACCTGATGTTTGTATTTATTGTTTTGTACTATGTTAATGCAGGGACAATTTGCAAGTGTATTATTAAATATTAGGTAGAAATCATGCCATGCGTCTTTGTACATAAAGATATTTTATTCATATTTTCATGTGTTATTCTTAATAAATAATTACTATATTCCACTCACTAAAAATATCATAATGTGACTGTGAAAATGGCAATGATATTGTCTTTGCATAATTATGAATATTTGGGGGCTGATTATCTGAATATGAGAGCTCATAATGAAAGGCGTCTGTAATAAGTGAGAAAGGAACAAAGGATTCACAAATCAGACTCCATGAAAAGGAAGTCAGTTTACCATTTCTCTGGTCTTTCTATTTGTAATTCACACTATGTGACAAGGATGTAAGGGCATTTATGACACTCTCTACTGCATTCATTAAGATGACAACAGGATTGAGATTTTTCATAATCCATTTGGTTGACAGTGTCTGTGCATTTTTAATTTTTTTCTAGAAATGCAATGATTTGTTCTAGCCATCATCATCAAATCTCCAGTTTGTAGAAACCAACACTTCATAAATAGATAATTGTGATATGATTTCTCAGTGTATCACTTTCCTAAAAATACCATACGATCATAGCTGCCATTCCCTCAGGAGCAAATTCTTCTGTTGAAAGCTGACTGATCAACCTTGACCACTTCTTGGGTACAATGGATCAAAATGTCATGTTGGTTGAAGTTCTATGGAAAGCCTTGGAACTAAAGCCGCAGTGGCAGACAGCTCTTCAACTTCATGATTACCTAAGCTGCTTTCAATGCTGAATTATCTTAGTGACTTGAGTGCAGTGTAGTAGAGACAGAATGACATATTTAAAACTGCTTTTTAAAATGTCATTTTTTGCAGTGTATTTCAAAACTTCCAGCTTTAAGAATTATATAAATAAGCATCTTGGTTTTAGCTTCTTGATATCTGGACTATTTCTAATCAAGGACACCCAAGCAAGCATGTCTATATTACTGAATGGTGTCTCTGTGTTTTTTTGAGAAGAGAGATGGGGGATATGGGGACAGAAAAAAAGCAAGCAAGAAGGTAGAGAAAAAAGCAAGGATATCCAATACATACACTTCCCTTGAAAGATGCTTTGCCTATGATCAACTCCAACCTACAAGTCTTTAAATGGGAATAGCAAAGGCTGGAGGAGGCCAACCATGGAGCATTTGTCTCCAGAAGGAAAATATTCCAATACCCCTAGAATGCTGTACTGAGCTCCTCAACAGAAGCCTTGTTACACAGGATGTATTGCAAAGAAACAAACTTTTCTGCAGTTTAAATTACTGCAAGTGATATGTTATTCTGGCTTGTAGAAAAACCATTTACGTGACTTTTCATAAGTATTATTCGAAGAGAGTTTACAAGGATCAGAAGAAGGAAAGCTTTTTAATGGTCATAAAAGAATGAAATTCGTTCTAGTTCAAGAATTTTCCATAAAGAAGATGCTTTATACTAACAAATATAGCATTAAATCTTTAAAACAGTCAAAGTGAAAAGAGGATTGAAGACTTGGCGGAGATACTAGTGGCATCTTGTAGCACCAATCTCTTTTGTAGATAATGTCTGCATTTTGATAAATCAACTTAAAACTTCTGTTGAAGTAGGGTATTTTGTTTTCAATCCAAAATTATCATTAATCAGATTTTTTTAATTATCTGATTTAGATGATCTATTTTTTATGCCTGACTTATTATAATCTTTTTATTCTGATATACAGCTCAAATGTCACTGCAACAATAGAAAGGCTGTACTTAGACCAAAGCTAAACCTTTTTATGTATTTATTCTGCATGACAATATGAATATAATTTAAGTCTATCAATAGTCAAAACATAAACAAGAGCTAATTAACTGGCACTGTTGTCATCTGAGAATAAGCAGATGTTGTTGGCCGACACAGTGGCTGTGATTAGCCAGCAGAGAAAGACTTCTAAATTCCCCTTGCTAAGCTGAAATATTCCATTACACATCTGACAAATCTGTGTCTTATTTCTTGTCTACCTGCCATCATGAGGATCAACTTAGGACATGGACGAACCTTCAACAATGAACGTGCTAGCTTTCCCTGATTTTTCTCTGTTGAGCCCTACTCGTGATTATTCAAGATTTTATGGGGTTTTAAAAAGAAAACTGGATATGTCCTTTAAAAGTTATGTTTTGGATGACACCTAGTCTCAAAACTATGAAACTGTTAATTATTACCTATATTCAAGATATCCATCATTGTGGTTAATTAAATAATAGTTATCCTGAGCTAAGAATTTATGATGGATTATCCACAGATCTTTCCTTAAAAATTTCCCCACCAACACAAACTAGATTTCTCATGTTTCATTAAATGAGTATACTTTGTCCTTGCTTCAAGGCGATTTGTCTGGTGGGTGGACCTGAATATATTTTCTGGTCTGGGTACTTTTTAAAAGAAAAACAGTTTTGATAAATAATGGAAAAACATCTATCATGCCTACCAATGTTACATTCCTGAACTTGAAGTCAGAATTCTACTGAAGTGATCATGGACAATATCATTAGTTGCCTAACACCATATCCAACATTCACTACATGCCAGGCATTATGTTAAACACTTCACATTCATCATCTCAGTTAATTGTCACAATAATGGTAAGAAATAATTTCTAATATTATATTACTTTTTTCTTATTGTTGTTATCATCATAAGCATAAACATAAGCATATCCATTTTAAAGATAGGAAGCCAAGACAGAAAGTTACATAATTTACCCAGGTTGTACAACTAGTTAACAGCAAAAATTTAGATTCCAACCTAAATCCCAAATCCTTGTTCCTCATCACTATACTACTTAAGTCTTTCTAATCTAAGTTTATTTATCTAAAAAAAGGGGTGAAAGCATTATACTCCTGGCCATAGTTAAAAACGGGGACCAGATTTATCATCCCCCTATAAACAATTAAAAAACTAAACTACCGTTTCAGACAATGAACAAAAGGCAGAACTGGACCATGATCCATTAGAAGAGAGAAACAAAATTGTGAGCCCTATGAAGGCCTGACTTTGACACATTTCAGACCAGCTGCATAGAGCAGGACCATTAAGTAGAACCTGAGAATCACACTGGGTTGAGGAGACATAGATTGGAGCAAGGGGACTACAATAGCTGGAATTCATGGAGCAGAGTACCAGACAGGAAGGAGCTACATAAAGACCTCCAAAAATCTGCATATAGGTGACTTTTTATCTGTTGATAATGGGATATTAAACTGTGCATATGCTTAGGGTAAAACTTCATGAAACCAGGCAAAAAAGAGCTGTAGCTGAAAATTCCTAGACATCATACAGGGCAGAAAGACATTCAGGGTCTGACAAGCTATATTGGAAAATCCTCACTGATCACCTTGATTGATGATCCCACAAGAGTCACACTTTAGTAGTTGTGCTAAAATACCCCTAGAGTAAAGGTGACTCTAGATAAACCCTAGAACAGCCTAAAAATAAACCCTAAAAGAATGAAAAAACCCAACATATTTAAAGACTTCCCAGGACAAGGTCTGACAATCTTTGATAAAGACAACAAAATACAGCAAAGCAACACATCAACAACATAAAGTTCCAAATAGTCATTATCCAATCTAAAATGATATAGATGCCCACAGAATGGGAGAAGATATTTGCAAATGACATTACAGATAAAGGGCTGATATCCAAGATATATAAAGAACTTCCCAAAGTCAACAGTCAAAAAAACAAGTAACCTGGTCAAAAAATGGGCAGAAGACATGAACAGACACTTCTCCAAAGAAGACATACAAATGGCCAACAGACACATGAAAGGATGCTCAACATCACTAGCCATCAGGGAAATACAAATCAAAACCACAATAAGATACAACCTTATACCAATTAGAATGGCAAAAATTAACAAAACAGGAAACAACAAATGTTGGTGAGGATATGGAGAAAGGGGAACCCTCTTACACTGTTGGTGGGAATGCAGGCTGGTACAGCCACTCTGGAAAACAGTATGAAATTTCCTCAAGATGTTAAAAATAGAGCTCCCCTATGACCCAGCAATTGCACTACTAGGTATTTATCCCAAAGATACAGATGTAGTGAAAAGAAGGGGCACATGCACCCCAATGTTCATAGCGGCAATATCCACCATAGCCAAACTGTGGAAGGAGCCGAGATACCCTTCAACAGATGAACAGATAAAGAAGATGTGGTACATATATAAAATGGAATATTATTCAGCCATCAGAAAGGATGAATATCCACCATTTGCATCGACATGGATGGAACTGGAGGGGATTATGCTAAGTGAAGTCAGTCAAGCAGAGAAAGACAATTATCATATGGTTTCACTCATATGTGGAACATAAACAATAGCACAGAGGACCATAGGGAAAGGGAGGGAAATCTGAAGGAGGAGAAATCAGAGAGGGAGATGAACCATGAGAGACTATGGACCCCGGGAAAAAAACTGAGGGTTTCAGAGGGGTGAGGGGGAGGGGGTAACAGGGTGATGGGTATTAAGGAAGGCAAGTGTTGAGATGAGCAATAGGTATTATATGTAACTAATGAATCACTGAACACTACATCAAAAACTAATGATGTACTATACACTGGCTAACTGAACATAATATAAATAAATAAATAAAATTAATAAAATTTAAAAAATAAAATGATATAGATGCCCCCAAAGAAGTAAACTGTGAACTATAATCATGAGAAAAATCACTTGATAAAGAGGGATTCATAAATGATAAAAAGGATGGATACTTCACAGCTAATTCCAGTAGGCTAGTATTATCCTGATAAGAAAACCAGCCAAAGACATTACAATGAAGAAAAAAAAAACAAAAAAAAACCCTATGGGTCAATAGCCCTCATGAACATAAATACCAAAAATAACCCAAACTATTAACTAAATATTAGCAACTAAAATTCAGCAATATAAAAAATATCAAGTGAAATTTATCCTGGGAATCCAAGGTTATCTGACATTTGAAAATCAGTCATTGTAATTCAACATACTAGCAGAATAAAGGAAAAAAATCCATATGCTTACCTCAATAGATACAGAAAAAGCATTTGATAAAATTCAATATTCACTTATCATAAAATATCTCATCAAATTAGGATTAAAAGAGAACTTCCTCAATCTGATAAAGCACATTTATGAAAACCTACAGCTAATTCATATAAGTGGTGAAAATAAATGCTTTTCTCTAAAATTAAGAACTAAACATTTCTCTCTTATCACTTTTATTCAACATTGTTCTGGGCTGGAGGGGGGTGGGGGTTAGGTCCTAGCCAATGTAATAATGCTAGAAATAAAAACATATATAGACTGGAAAGAAAGATGACAGAGTCTGCATAAATCCTATGAAACCCACAAAAAAACTCCTAGGATTAATAAACAGATTTGTGATGCTTATGGAATGTAAGATTAATAAACAGAATCAACTGATTTATTTAGTAACAAAAAAAAAAGAAAGTTGAAAAGATATACCATTTACAACAAATATAAAGTTCTTAGGGATAAATTTTACAAAATATGTGCACTCCTTATACATTTAAAACTGTTAAACTTCTGAGAGAAATTAAAGAACACCAGATCATAGATTAACCTACCCAATATTAAGATGTCATTTCTATTTAAATTGATTGATGACTTTATCAAAATTCCATTCTAAATCCAGTTTTCATTTTTTATAGAAATTGATGGTAATTCAAAAGTTCATATGAAAATAAAATGAACTTAGAATTGCTAATTTTTTTTTTTTTTTTTTTTTTTTTTTAAGAATAAGCTTGGGCTACTTATACTCCTGGATTGGAAGACTTACTCTAAAGCTACGGTAATCAAAACAGTTTGTACTGACCTAAGGATAGAATTTAATTAATAGAACAAAATAGATATTGCAGAAATAAGTAAATATGTGATATTTCCCTATACACACACGCATATATATCAAATGATTTTTGACAAGGGTGCCATATTAATTCAATGGAGAAAGGAATGGTTCTGGAACAATAGTTAACTCATGTGCATAAAAAAGGTCAACACTTACCTCATACTACACACATACCAACTTAAAATGTGTCATAAATTTAAACACTAAATCCACATCTATAACTTTTGCTTTCTATAGAGTCAGTAAAGGTTCCCTAAATAGGACACCAAAGGGCAAAATTAAAAGCAAAATAAGTTGAACTTTATCAAAACTAAAAATTCTGCTCTTGAAATAAGCACTAATAAACTGAAAATGCAAGCTAAAGAATAGAAGAATATATTGGAATTACACGTCTGATAAATGGCTTATATCTAGAATACGTAAGGAACTCAAAAAACTTAAAAATAAGTCCATCCACTAAAAGCAGGAAAAATATTTAAAAAGACAATTCACAAAAGAAGATATACGATTTTCCAATAAGCACATGGAAAGAAACTCAATATCATTTAGTCATCAAGAAAATGCAAATTTAAAATTACAATGAGATACCACTACATATCCACAGGAAAGGCTAAAATTATTAAGGCCAATAATACCAGGTGTTGGAGGGAATATGGAGGAACTAGAACTCTCATATACTGCCAGTGGGAATGTAAAATAATACACCATTTGGAAAACAACGTAGCAGATTCTTCTTGAAAAAAAAAGTTTCAAAAGTTAAATGCATACTTCTCATATGACTCACTATTCCACTTTTATGTATTTATCCAAGAGAAATGAAAACACATGTCCTGGCTATACAAAGACCTATAACCAAAGGCTCATTTCAGCTCTTTTCATAATAGCCAAAACTATACACAATAAACAAATTGTGGTAGAGTCATACAATGGATTACCATGCAGCAGTCAAATGGAACAGACTGCTGATACACCCAAAAAACGGATGAATCTCAAAAACATTATGCATCATGTGGTAAAAAAGAAGCCAGGGATAGTGGTGTGCATACTTTATGACTCCATTTCTATGAAACACTAGAAAGGAAATCAGATCAGTGTCTGTCTTGAGCCAAGGATAAAGGGGAGTGGTGTGCCAGGGAATAAGCACAGGCAATATTTTTGAGACGATAGAAGTTTCTGTAGTTTGATCATGGCGTGGGTTAGAAGGTATACTTATTTGCCCAAACTCAAGCTGTACACTTAAAATAGGAATTATTTTAGGTATAAAATATGCCTTAATAAAAGTGACTTCTAAAAAGATTTTATAAAGTTTTTAATTTTTTTTTCTTTCTTAAACGTTTACTTTGAGACATGTTGGAAAAATTCTACAAGTACACATGGAAAAATAAGACATGATCACAGTTAAAAGTGAAGACAATCTAACCAGAAAGCTTTAATGCTTGTCAGCTACTGTTGAAGCTAAAGTTTTGAGTCTAACATGATCCAGGGCTGAAAGGAATGGTAATTAGTGTTCCTCTCTCTCTTCTTCACCATATTCCTCAACAGAATCCACACCAACCTCCTCATAACCCTTCTGCAGGGCAGCTTTGTCCTCACAGTCCTCAGAAAACTCACCTTCCAGGGTATCTGGGTGGCTCAGTCAGTTAAACATCCAACTTTTGATTTCAGCTCAGGTCATGATCTTAGGGTCATGAGATCAAGCCCCATGTCAGACTCTACGCTTATCGGGGAGCCTATTTAACCTTCTCTCTCTCCTTCCCCCTCTGCTCCTCCCCCTTCTAAAAAAGAAAAAAGAAAAAAGAAAACTCTGCTTCCTCCATGCTCTCACCCACGTACCAGTGAACGCACACTTGGCATACATACATCAGGTCAAATTTGTGGTCCAGGTGAGCCCAGGACTCAGCAATGGCTGTGGTACTGCTCAGCATGCACACAGCTCATTGTAGTTTGGTCAGGTCTCCACCAGGTACTACAGTGGGAGGCTGGTAGTTAATACCAACTTTGAAGTCAGTGGGGTACCAGTCCATAAAGGGATGCTTGGTCTTAATGGTGGCAATGGCAGCATTAACATCTTCAGGAACCACATAGCCACGGTACAACAGGCAGCAAGCCATGTATTTACCCTGGCCACATTTCACCGTCTGGTTGTCTGGCCCAAAGCACATATTGGTGATCTCTGCTACAGAGAACTGTTGATGGTAGGCTTTCTCAGCAGAGATGACGGGGGCATAGGTGGCCAGAGGGAAATGGATGTGGGGATAGGATACCAGGTGGGTCTGGGATTCTGTCAGATCAAATTCAGGGCTCCAGCAAATCTGAGGAAAGCACTGATGGAAGACACAGTCTGGCTAATGTAGCAGATTAGTGTAGTTTGGGCGCTCAATATCAAGGTTTCTACAATAGATGTCATAGACGGCCTTTTGTCTACCATGAAGTCACCATCAGAGTGCTCTAGGATGATGTGGCTGGTGGGGAGGAGTCACAGGGTTTAGCTACAGCTGTAGAGACCTGGGCGGGGCAGAGGGGGGGCGGTGGCGCCTGGGTAAATGGAGCACTCCAGCTTGGACTTCTTGCCATAATCAATAGAGAGTTCCATCAGCAGGGAGGTGAACCCAGAACCAGTTCACTCTCCAAAGCTGTGGGAAACCAAGATGCCCTGAATACCTGTGAACTGGTTGGCCAGTTTCTGAATTTAGTCCAAGATGTGATCAATCTTGCCAATGGTGTCATGTCCTTGGACATAATTGTTGGCAGCCTCTTCCTTGCCTGTGATGAGCTGCTCAGGGTGGAATAGCTGGCGGTAAGTTCCAGTGCGAACTTCATCCATGACCGTGGGGTCCAGGTCCACAAACACTGTCCTGGGCACATGCCTGCCCGGACCCATCTCACTGAAGCAGGTGTTGAGGAGTCATCTCCTCCCGTAATGGTGTTGTCACTTGGCATGTGGCCATCGGGCAGGATGCCATGTTCCAGGCAATGGAGCTCCCAGCAGGCATTGTTGATATGGACACCAGTCTGGCCAACATAGAGAGAGAAGCACTTGTGCATCATAGCTACAGCTTAGCAGGTACAGGCGACAGGAGCAGACACCAGGTCCCAGCTACTGTCCCTGACGAGCTGAGTTGAGGTAAGTAATGTACTGACTATATAAATATTGTTCTACAAGGAGGCGCTATATGATTAAATTTCTGCTATGCACTGAATTGTGCTCCCCCAAATTTATACGTTGAAGTCCTAACCCAACAACCGCAGATTGTGCCTGTGTTTAGGGATAGGGTCTTGAAAGTGACACAGTGATGATGTCATTAAGAAGGACCCTAGTCCAATATGACTGGTGTCCTTAAGAAGAGGGAATTAGGGGACAACACACATACAGGGAAAACCGTTGTGAAGACACAGGGAGAAGACAGCCTTTTATAAGCCAAGGAAAGAAGTATCAGAATGAAATCAGCCCTGTTGACACCTTAATTTTGCATTTCTTCCCTCCAGAATTGTGAAGAAGTATATTTCTCTCATTGAAGCCATTCAATCTGTGGTACTCTATTATGGTAGTCCTAGTAAACTAATATAGTCCTACAGGGCTACTGAGATAATTAAATGAGATTATGACGCACAGGGACACAAGATATAATAACTTTTTCCCTCCTTGATTTTTAGTGACACCCAGGGTTAGAACTACTCATATTTATATTCAAAGTTAATTGGCAGGACCGAGATCCCTTTCCAACACCTGTGAGAATTTCTAAACCCTTCTAGTCTACCACCAAATTAGAACCTTCTCTAAGTGTCATGATTCTAGGATTACTTATTAATATAAATGAGCTTTTAGCAATGTTAACATCTATCTGATAAGCTGTTAAAATATTGAAATGTTTCAGTATCATTGATAAATAGCTGCTATCCTAAGCTTACTCTCCCCCCAAGAGCCCCCACAGCAGCTCGGGTCCCGCCCCTGGGACCTCAGATCTCTCTAGGATCCAGCTCCCGATAGGATAATGTCTGGTAAAAGTGAGGCCATCTGTTCTTTTAAGTCAGTGCCCTATGCCACATCTATGATTAGATATTTTGACTATCACTGGTTTTAGGGATGTGTTTTGATAATGAGGAGAATGGCAAAAAGGACGAGTAATTTGAGAATTTTTTTTTTTTTTTAAATACAGATTTGTTTGATTTCTGGAACACGTTTATTTTGTTGACCAAATGTAGGTCTGGACCATGTCAATTCAAGCACACTGAAACAAGATAATGTTTGCAATGCTTTAAGGTACAAAACCTTACTTGTACACAGAAATTTAGGGTCAGGTCTTCATTAACCTCCTCTAGGATCAGGTGTGTGGGGGGGAGAGAGAGAAAGAGAGAGAGCACGCACATACGCTCTGATAAGGGAGGAGGTTTTTTGGTGCGCTGGCAACATATTGGCAGAGTGAGGGCTATCTTTTGCCAATATTGCAGTGCCATACAATAATGCTGCATTTAAATTTTAAGTGTAAGCACTGTGCAGGATTTAGAGTATTTTGCTTGGAACTAAAACTAAAGCAAATGAAAGCACTTAAAAGAAAAACTGTCAGCCCGCCCCTGCTGCTCCCGTTGCAAGGCCATTTAGTTATCTCAAAGAGCTTAGATGATCTGAGAGATTAGAGGAGGCCCAGATGAGGTTTTCTCTGGCTTTGCAGTAAAGCCCACTTACTTGCCGAGGGCTGTATGATTGTTTGTCATTCATGTGCTGCAAGGGGCGGTTTTTAATTAATGCCTCTATTACCTAAGACTTACGGTTCAGTAAAGTATCAGATGAAACTCCGGCATCCAAGAAAATGTGCTCAGTCTCAGCTGCATCCTGTTATCGGGATCCGGCCCACTCCCTAGAATTGGTGTGAATTTTATTTCAAAAGAAGAACAGTTCTGATAGCTGTGCTTCCCACTCTGAGGAGGTTCGGAGTGTGAAGTATGGATCTGCAGTCAAACTGTCTGGATAGAGAAGTGTGGGAAGATTTCAGAGGTTGAAGCTTTAAGAAATGTGTGTGGGAAGGGAACAAATTGAAATCTGCTATTAATACCAAACGCTAATAGTTATTATCATTATTATCATCAATAAAGGTTTTTTTACCACCTACTAGTCCAAAGTATTATTTTAGGCACAGGAGTGATGAAAAGATATCCTAGGTGATAATTCCCTCTAAGAATGTATTGTCTGGCCGAGAGAAGATTTGAAGCTCGAAGGGGAGGGCTTTTCCTGACCTGCAGCTACTAGGGGCAGGCGAGGTGAAGTGAGGACAGGAGCATAGCATCTAGTGCTACGTGACACTGCTTTGTTCTCCAAGCGGCGTATGGTGGGTGCGGCGCACGGGGGCCAAATGAACGACGAGCTCTGAGTTAGAGTGAGCGCAAGTCTAGCTTCCACGGGTTAGTCTCTCAATTCCAAAATGGCAGTATTAAGGTTTTGAGAGGATTTAGTAAAAGAATGCGTGCAAATCGTTTAACACAATACCTACCCTATAAACCAAACATGAACAACAATAACCTCAAAACATCAACAACAAAAATTAAATGTAACCGCTAATACAGACAAGTAAGTACTTATACAAGGTTGCAGCGTAAATAGAAGCTGTACCCTGGGAAAGCTTTGCCTCTTTTTCTATAGGTATTGAGGAAACTCAAAGTATTTCAGCCAAATAGTATGTTATAGGGAAGAAACAGTTAAGGGAAGACGCAACCGGTGATTTCTTTTTTTTTTAATTTTGCTTTTTGACTTTTTTTCTTAATGCGGGAAGGGAAAACACACAGTCAAGATTATTCCCAAAAGAATATATGCGATTTGGATGTTTAGAATAGCAACCTTCAAGAGAAACAATTTAATGACACAGAATTATATTTCCTACTCTTAGTGTCTTTGTCTATTTTAGGGGGTAGTTTTGGCCAAAGATCAAGAAGGATTCCCCTCCTTGCTGAGCCCAATTAATGAATAAGGTATTTTACTAAAGCAATAAAAGATTCACACCCATAGTATACAAACATTAGTCTAAATATTTCCAAAAAAAATCCCTTTATTTGCTACTCAATTAATAATCAACTATCACCCCCACTGGATTCTCAAACTCCACTCACCTGCATCTCTCTCTTTAATTGTTTCAAAGGCATGAGATTTTTGATAACTCCCTCCACTCTGTTTTAAAAAGGTTAGATTTTTTAAAATTAATTAATTCAGTGTCAAAGTCTACAGATCACTGAACCTGTCCTTAGAAGTAATCTGCCTGCTTCTTTTATCCCAAGGTGATGGACAACAATAATAACCAACTATAATCTGTACTTTCCTATTATGGACATTGGGAGGCAGGTTTCCACTATTCTCTAGAAGACATTGCAAAGTGTCACGTAGGTAAAAATTCCCATGAAAGTGCAAGCTCCAATGACTTAAGTGGATCTTGTACTTAATGATCACCTGATACATAAACTTCCTGTTGGAAGAGAAGAGCATACTGCTTGTTCTCTCCAAGTATGACTTTTAAGTCCACAAGGAGGAAGCCTCCACAAAATGGCACAAGGACCCTTTGAGGTAAAGCAAACCTCACTCCTGGATTCTGCTGTGAATACACTTTATCCTAATCATAATAATGTAAGATATGTTCATAGCCTCTCAGTTTTGGAATTATTCAGTAGACAGAATTTAAGGTTGAACCCAAACTTAAAAGATCCAAAATAATGGCAGAGTTGAAAGAAGTTACGGGATAAGGGAAGGAGGAGAGGTGAGAGATGCAGGAGGGACAATAATGCCTGTATTTCACACAAGGAGAAAGAGACACTGTCGAAGTTAATGGAAAAAAGAATAGATTTAATTATATTATTTAAGGTTAAAAAGAAAAGCAATAGAAGCATTGAAGAGTGATACAGGTTATTTAACTTGGGAGGTAGTGTTCCTGAGCTAAATTCTCTTTTATTCAATAGCACAGGGTCAATTAGCCACTACTTACAGAAAAGGATGTAAGTTTATTATTTACAATTGTAGTGACGAGCCCCAGAAGAGCTGAAAACAGAAGTAGTTAAGGTCATTATCTCTAGCTGGAAGCTGGGGCAGAGAGTAAATGTAAATCTCAGTTTAGCTCAGCAAGAGCTTTACCAAACAAATACTACATATATATTTTTCTCCTTCAAAAAACATAATAAAACAAATATATATATACTTCTCCTGCCCATATATTAAAAGGTAACAAATCACACCTTATATATGTAATAACAATTTACAAAAGATTTTACTGAAATTATGATTCCATTTTCCACAACAACCTTATGGATAAGTTGGGCCCCTATTGTTAATTTTCCCCTTCTTATAGATATGGGAGCACATTGTTGGCTCCCAGCAAGATAATTTATTACCAGAGAACATGCAGACCCTTTGTAAGTGGCCAAGAGAGCTTTAGCTTTAACCCAGGTCTTCTGATGTTAGTTCAAAGCCGTTTCCATCAGGGAAGCTGACATTTTTTGCTTTCCCTGGACTTGAAAAATTAGATGGCCTACCAACCTTGCCTGGAATTACCAAAAATTGTCATTATGTTAACAAGAAGTCATTCAGTCACCAAAAACTTAAGAGCAAGCTATTTTTTTCAACATCTTAGCTTCATGAGAAGTTTTTTTTAAAAAAGAATTTAATAGGTACATATTTGGAGACACATGATTAGAATGTTTTGTGCTACTAGAATTATTAAAGCTTACATATTCACTGACACTAAGCAAATAATGTCACTAGACGCACAATCCTATGACAATTTTTCTAAAGTCTAAGCAAAGCTATTCAATAGAAATATGTGAGCCACGTATGTGATTTAAATTTTCCTGGTAGTCACATCAAAAACTAGAAGGAAACAGACAAAATTAATTATTTTAACATATATATACACAAAATATAGTTTTTAAAAACTACAAAAGAAATACATTCTTTTTTTTTCCAAAGGAAGTCTTTGAAATTTGGTGTGCATTTTACACTTACAAGCTATCTCAGTTCAGATTCACCACATTTCAAATGCTTGATAACCACTGTGTTTAATGGCTACAGACTAGGTCCCAATAGTTTAGGGACCCCAGTCCTGGGATTTAGTAACTCCAATACCCAAAACTGAAAAGGGGAATAGGAAGATAGAGCAATACTTTAAAATATCAAAAGTTCAGAGCCAGTCCTTAGTGATGAGATCAAATGTTTGCCAAACTCTCCAATTAATTTTTCAAAATGAAGTGTCGCCTATATCATCTTTATCAATAAAAACTATCTTCAAGTATCCATCAGTTGTCCTGCTAGTCATTCCCACTTTAGTTTTCTTCTTGCGAAAGATTACCACCAGGTTTTTAAATTTAATATCCTACACATAAGCTCAGCAGCTCTTTGTGCTTGGTATCCGTAGTGAGATTGTTATTAAGAATACAGTTAAGGATGCAGCAGGACTATTTTACCAACCACTCATTGTGTTGTAAATTCGTAAAGAGAAACCACATGTGACTCTAATGAGGTCATCACTCTCTTGATTGTATGCTATTAATGCTTCCTTGAGGCTATTTTCTAATAAAACTGCTCACAGAACAGAAATAAGCTTATGAAAGGAAAAAAAAAGTCAGTTGGTAATGATGTGAAAATCAAGCTTAGGTTTTAAAGTCCCCAGTCTACAGCATATATTTAAATAGTTACCAGGTGACTGGATGGCATCTGCTAGAGCAATCATTCTTTGCTAAATTAAGAAGTTCTACTCTCATAACTAGGAGGTGCATTAAAGATAACTACACATATTAGCAGAACATTATCTGTAACAAAATATATACATGCTCACGAAGCTCCACGCCAACTACATTAAAATTGAAATAATTATATTTGTAAATACAATTTAATTGGAAAATATTAAGCAATCTCATCAAACAGATCAATTTGTTCAATGCTTTGGCACACATTCACATATAAATTTATTTTAATAGGCTCATCAGGATATAGTTCTATTAAAGCACCTTTACTATAATGAAATAATTATCACCTCATCTTGCAAATTTGAAAATCAAACTGCCCCTTCTAAGGCAAATGCCACAGAATTCTCTGGTTAGGACCCATTACCTGGGATAGCCTGCAGTAATTCTAACACAGATACAAAATACCCTCCACCCAGATGACAACGCTGGTCAGGCTCTTACCCGTTCATTCACTCACTCACTCACTCACTCACTCATTTATGTATTATGTATTTAATTGTCTGTATCTGCATTGAATCTGTGACTCTTTTTGTCAAGGTACATACACAATTAGGCAACCAAAAAGTTATTACGAATTACATTTTTCAGATCTCTTTTCTTCTACTTGTATTTCTCAACACTTGAGGGAGATTTCCTGACCACAGCAACATATTCTGAAAACTCTTTTCTGTCCCACCCATTTTATTCATAAAATACACTTAACTTTTCTCAAATCTTCTCTAAAGGTTCTCTGAGTAATTCTTCTGCAAGCCCTTCCTTTCCAGCTCTCCTTCTTATCTTAATTCCCTATTACGAAATCCCAAAGAACTATCCTCGCAAAGGCAAAAACCTCCAAAGAAGCTGAGTAAAGAGAAATAAATGAAATGACAAGGCCTCTAAACTCTTTTTAAAAATAGGAAAGATAGGGACATTCATTTTTTTTAAAGATTTAGTTATTTATTTTAGAGAGAGAGAGAGCATGAGAGCAGGGGGAGACACAGAGGGAGAGAATCTCAAGAAAGCTCCCCACTGAGCAGGGAGCCCCATGCAGGGCTCAGTCTTGCAACCCTGAGATCATGACCTGAGCCGAAATCAAGAGTCGGATGCTCAACAGACTAAGCCACCCAGGCGCCCCAAAATAGGGACATTCATAATTCAATTACTTTTTGTCCCATTACAATCCATTCAATAAACATTTAGCAACTAGAAATAAGTGCCAAGAGGCAAAAATGAGATAAATATCCATGCTATTAAGGGGCTTCAGTCTAGTGTTGTATATATGTATATGGGGGGAGGAGGTGATTGTTATTAAAATAGTTCCACTTAAATTGTATTAGTATCTGGATGAAGGTAATTACTGTAAAGGAAGAGGAATTGGAAAATTGACAGCATTCTGTAATGTAAGATATGAAAGATGAGCAAAGGAGATACAACCTAGATGATTTGCAGATGCATGGCTCCCTTGTATGACTGGTTGAATAGTGGTGTCAGTTGAAGACACATAAACATGAGAGTGAATCTGGTAAGTTTAATTTTGAAGAAGCAGAGCCGGTAATATCTATTTATATATATATATAAATAGGGGTGGAATTTGATTTTGAATAAAGTGGAAAAGGTTTGGTACAGTCAATGATGGGGTTTATATAAGTTTCTAGAGATAAGGCCTGCATTTTGAATAAAAGTGAATGCCCATTCTTTATGATTTTAACATGCTAATCCTCACATCCTGCTTGCCTGTACTTACTCTTCTTATATACCCCTTACTTAATAGTTTTCCAATTATATTTACTATTTAGGATTATACGTTCCCTCAATACATCCCTCTTCTGACATCAGCTCAGAGTCCTTGAAAATCTGCACTGATGCTTCCCCAGCAATTTCCCTGGTAGCTCATTTTGTTCTATTCTCCAAGTATTCTTAGTTTATGCTTTAATTTCATCTGTACTTTGCCTCTCTTGGAGTTGAGCCCGTGTTTTCAGCCATGACTCCAAGAGATACCAAACAAATGCCGGCCGAGTGAAGCAGCAGCGACCCTGCTCAAACTTTAGGTCAAGTGTACTTCTGATCACACACACACACACACAAGCACGCGCACACACACATACATCTCTTTCTGTAAGTACACAATAATTCCCTCAGCACTTTCTCTTCTAACCTATCCGATGCTATTTTAAATCCATTTCCTCAAAGGAAGCTTCATCCAGTTATATAACTCTTATCCACATGCACTTCTCACAGCCCCACACTTGCTTAGCTAACTCAGTCATTATCACTCTGGTTTATGGTCTACCACCCTTCTGAATCTAGTACCATCCATGTGTTCTAGGGAAAATTACCCTCCATGATCCATAGATAACTGCATTTTCAAGACCCTTCCAGTAAGCCTTCACCCTGTTTTTTCAATCACATTTAACTACATATAATTCCCTGACTGTTCTAGACTCTGGATATTACTACCTTCCTCAGAAATGCTCTTCCTCTTAGATCTTCATCCTTCAGAACTCTTAGCCTTCATGATCTTCTCTAAAGACCCCATAATTCAAATGTCACTCCTTCTGTATCTCATTGCACATTTTACATTACTCTATTATATCTCACAATATGTTTTAATTACCCTTAATATAAAAATATATTTGTATATTAAACCTGTGCTTCTCACATTTATATAGCCACCCCATATCCTTAGCTGAAAAGACTTCTATCATGCCATAGTGCTAACCTAAACAGGTACTCAATACATGTTTGTGAAAAAAAAAAGATTGATCTTAATACAATTTCTTACACATCAAAATTTCCAAATCAAGTTATTAGCTTCTGTTGTTATTTAAAGATTGTATTTATTTATTTGAGAGAGGGAGAAAGAGAGCACAAGCTGGGGGGAGAGGGGCAGAGGCAGAGGGAGAAGCAGACTCCCCACTGAGCAGGGAGCCTGATGTGGGGCTCGATCCCAGGACCCTGATGTGGAGCTCGATCCCAGGACCTGAGCCGAAGGCAGATGCTTAACCAACTGAGCCACCTAGGGGCCCCTATTAACTTCTGTTATATACCCACATTACTAAGTAGGAAGAAAATAAAATTGGCACTAGAATTTAATGAAACCAACCTTAATAGTGAAGCCTCATTTAAAAATTTATTCTAGCTAATTGTCCTAATGACCCAGTCATATAACAATGGTGACATTCATCCATTTATGAAGTGAATTATTTTTTGAGCACCTAGGGTATTCCAGACACTGTGAATATGTCAGAAGCAAAATGACAAACCCGACTGCCACTTAGAAGTTGAAGAAAAAGATGAAAACTCTTACAATTGCCTAAAACTGGAATTAAAACAATGAAATGGGACTGGGAAATACAACTATTATCCCACATGTATTTTGCTTCTGAAAAGAAAGCAGATCCGTTGTTCTGCAAAAGTTAGATAACAGAAAGGAACATATCTTTTTATTTCCTCACTGTTTGTTCCACTCAGAGGGAGAATATGAACCAACCAACACATTGAGCATGAAACCTGCTGCTGTGTGGATTCTATTTTTTTTTTTTTTGAGGCAAACAAGATGATATTGTCATGCTTCTCCTTCCTGCAGGACATCATACCCCTCTTTCTATATCCATCCAGTGAATGCAACACTCAGAAAATAACTGGCCAGAAAGTAGGAACTGGTCTTAAGCACAAGCATGGAAAGAGCCAGAGGAGTAGAACATTTTGAGTACTAGTCTTTTTCACCTAGTGCACTAATTCAATTTATTACAAAAGGAAGTTGGGGTGGAGTAGGAGTGTAGGAGTTCAAGAAGGGGTATCACATGTTGAACTTCAGTAGGGTTGCATTAGGTAAAAGGCTGTCAAACTCAGAAATGGAAATGAAGACTATGTGCAACAATTTGCTCTGCTCTTGTCATGCACATAAGATAGAACCAACAGAGCAAATACTCAAGTGGTTGGTGAGTGAGGTCAAAGGCAATCCATATACTGTATTTGTTTATAAACATCAGGTATAGATCTAGTCCCTTCAAGGAAGAGGCAACAAGCAGCAAGTTAAAGACATCCTGTGCAGGACAGGAGAACAGAGCATAGTGATGAAGACTCAGGAGAAGACCATAAGTCTGACAGTGATCCACCACAAGAATCAGGGATAAGGTGGAAAAGAACGTAATCTCTGTGTCACGGAGAAACCCACATGACAGCACAGGTTAACAGGTGAGCATGGCAGCATGTCAGAGCAAGTGTTTTGAAGATTCCAAGGGAACCAAATACAATGAAGGATTTAAATTTTCTTTGGAGGCAATAAAGAGTAGGAAAAAAAAGAGGGAGAAGACAAAAATATATATATATGAGAAAAGGTCTATAATGAATACAGAAGATGTATTATTTTAATTAGAAAAGAAAAATCCATACAATTAGGAGACTAATAAATTTTATTTTATTTTTTAAAAAGATTTTATTTATTTATTTGACAGAGAGAGAGAGACAGCAAGAGAGGGAACACAAGCAGGGGGAGTGGGAGAGGGAGAAGCAGGCTCCCCACTGAGCAGGGATCCCAATACGGGGCTCGATCCCAGGACCCTGGGATCATGACCTGAGCCGAAGGCAGACATTTAACTGACTGAGCCACCCAGTTGCCCATAGGAGACTAATAAATTTTAAAATCTTGATAAAATGAATGACTTTATTGAGACATACAAGTAGCTCAGACTTAGTCAAGAAGAAATAAAAACCTGAAACTGCCAAGAATATCATTTTCTTCTCTTGTGTATACTGTCCTCTTACATAACCAACCAGGGGCTAAAACAGGTGTGAATCACTGCAAGGAAAGACGCCCTCATCCTATTCCCTCGCCCAGCAGACAAGAGTTCTCTAATGGCATTCCCCACCAAGCCATGCTTAACCACCCGCCATGTGTTATAGACTTGCTTTTGTCTCATCTCTTCCTTGAGTGCTTTGGGAAGAAAAGTATTGTGGTTTGAAGGAGAATTTGGCTTCTCCTGAGCCTCCCTGAACTGTACTAATAGCCCAATCTTGCTGTAAGTTTTTAAGGATGTTCCAGTGCACTCCTCCTCCTTCATTTGTAATTATCTTTCTGAATCCCCTCTTCTCTTCCCTCATCAAGATGTATTAGTTTGCTAGGGCTGCCATACAAGATGCCACCAACAGGGGAGTCTTACACAATAGAAATTTCTTTCATAGTTCTGAAGACTGGAAGTCCAAGATCAAGGTGCTGGCAGGATTGGCATCCTCTGAGTCCTTGCTCCTTGGCTTATAGATAGCGACCTTCTTGCCACATCCTTTGTGTCTCTTTCTGTGTATCCCAACATTTTGCTATAACGACATCAGTCAGATTGGACTAGGTCTACCCAACAGCCTCATTTAACCATAATTACCTCTTTAAAGACCCCATATCCAAATATAGCTATATTCTGAGGTACTAGGGATTAGGACTTCAACATATGAATTTTGAGAAGACACAATTCAGCCCAGTGTATTATAGATGAACATACATGAGTTTAGGCTTCCCAACTGCTTAGCCCATGACGTTACACTGCAGTGTCTATTCCATTTACTCTGCTCTGTATTTGTCTACTTGTGACTATGAGAAAGTTGCTTCTTACCTCTATGGATATCAAATTTCCTCTTTTACTAAATAAAGATTTGACTAGATAAACTTTACGGCGTCCTAAAGCCTTAACAGAATCAAGACCCTAAGTCACTGTGTATAAATCCAGTCAGATGTTACAGTGAGAGGGTATGATGCTGAAGAAGAAAATGTATAAGCTCAAAAGAAGGAGACAGCTAAGTTTCTTCCACAAAAGTGAAAGCCCCATCCCACTTCTCGCCCCGCCCTAAAGGGGCAGGAACCTGGAGAAAAAGGAGGGTGCATCATGCCACAGTCCTGCCTTGGCCTCTGAAGCTCTCAAAGAGGCCTGTCTGTAAGCCATCCCCTGTAGACTTCTCCTTTTTCACACACATATTGAGCACAAGGTGTCATTGATATTTACCTACCTATCTACATAAATATGTGTTAGACCTTCTTACATGTATTTATATAGTTTACAGTATTTATTTGTCAAATGCCATGTTTATTGTCTTACCTTTTTTTCACTTTTAACATCTCTGGAAATGGGATGCCTCCTAAAATCACTTTGGCCCAGCTACAGTCGTGGTGGATCTGTCATTGCTGGGCCACGTGTATAAAAATACTTGAGGGATGTTGTGAAATTTGTACCAAATCCTCAGAGACAATAGTGGATCATCCTTTTAAGATGTGCTATCACTGATGCTCTTGATGTCAAAGAAGGTAATATCTTATGGGAGGAAGAAAAAAAATCCTAAAGTGTTAAAAAACAAATCTCACAATGATGTGAATATGCTTACTGTCACTGAACTGTCCACTTGAAAAGAGTAAAAATACTAAATTTTATGTCATGTATACTTCCCCACAATAAAAAATACAATACAATAAATCAGAAGACTCAGATTCTAAATATGAAGGCATTTATGAAACATACTAACGAGTTTATTTCACTTTCTTCTTTTCATAGACATACAAGAGTAGTATGTGATAAAAAGCTGTGTCTAAATCAGACTAAATAACATCTTCTCGTAAATATAGAATAAAAATGCTCAAAGATAAAAAAGCATTGTGTCAGTTACTTGGAAGATTTGTTTTCTTCTAGAGGTATATGAAATACTGAGGTGTCTTACAATCAATACATCTTAAATTCAATTAGATATGCTATTTAATGAGGTCCTACTATGTGTCGGGCACTGTGGTAAGAACTGAGAATACAGAGTGAAAATGGGTCATGCCTTTAGTACATGTAGTTACCAAAAAATATAGTAAGAAAAATAATTAAATGAAAGATGGTGCTAAAAGAGGGAAATGTATATGCTCTTGGGGCACATCTCAGCAGGATCTAATCTCATCTGGGCCATCATGGAAACCCTCTTTGGAGAAATGATACCTCAGCTAAGACAGAGGATGAGAAGCAGGTAACCAAGAGTGAGGAAAGAATGACCCCCGTTGAAAGGAGGGGCTTGGGCACAGGCCTGAAAGTAAGGATGAGCATGGTTAACTGGTAGAACTCGAAGTCCAGCATAAGTGAAGGAGACTGAGTGGCTAATAAACAACGGAAATTTATTTCTCACAGTTCTAGAGGCTGGAAGTCCAAGATCAAGGCACCAGCAGATTCAATGTCTGTTGAAGACCTGCTTCTTATATGACCAGCTATCTTTTTGCTGTAAATTCACATGGTGGAAAGGGCAAGGGTCTCTTTTATAAGGGCACTAATCCCATCTACAAGGATTCCACCCTCGTGACCTAATCACCTCCCAAAAGCCCCCACCTCCTAAATCATCATCTTAGGGGTTAGGTATTTAACATATGAATTTTGGAAGGACAGAAACAGTCAGTCCATTACAAACATTACTTCTGACTGGGTCTGCGAGTGCGTTTCTGGATGAAATTCACATCTGAATTGATAGGCAGAGCAAAGCAGATCACCCTCCCTAGTGTGAGTGGTGCTCATTGAAGCCTGAATAGAATAAAAGGCTGAATAAGAAGGAATGTTTTCTGCTTGACTGTCTTTGAGCTGGGACATAGATCTTCTGCCTTTGGACTCAGACACAGATTATAATTTACACTACTTGTTCTCTTGGTTCTCCAGCTTGCTGACTGCAGATATTGGGTTTACTTCTCAGTCTTTATAGTTGCATAAGGCAACTCCTTATAGTAAATATATATGTGTAACATATATGTATATATACATGTGTGTATATATACATATGTGTTTGTATACACATGTGTATATATATACATATATGTTTGTAATATACACACACACATATATCTTGTTTGTTCTGTTTTCTAGGGAAGCCAGGCTACTTCAAAAGCTACCAGAACAGTCCCAGGCATTGTATTAAGGTCTTCACATTGAGTTCAATTAGCCTGGTAAGCAGCTATAACATAAGCACTATTCCTATCTCCATTTTGCAGTTAAATAGAAAATGAAGCCCAGAAAGATCAGCCAGATTTCCTCAGGTCAGCTATGTATTCAACTTCCTGAAAACCACATGGCATATTTATCTATTTTACAAACTCTGATGTAGTACATATGCCAAACATGATTCTAAATGTTCTCCAAACAGTGCTCACTTAATCCTCCCAGCAACCCTGTGCAGCAGACACGGGGATGCTGAGTAACTTATTGAGCAAGGCATAGAATGGAGTTTCAAACCCTGATCATCCAACTCCAGAATTCTGAGCCTCAACACTTGTCCCAGCCATCAGAAGCCAGACTAGCCAACAATTTGTATTCTGTGAATTCTCAGTTTTGTGCCCTTTGTTGAATCATGTCATCAAAATCACACTCTGAGCCTAAATTTTCTCATCTGTAAAATGGCAACTACAGATGATGCTGTGAAAAGCAAATGAGATGATACGTATTTCTTTATTATTGTAGTCATCAGGGCAGTCATCCTCAGTCCTTCCATCGCTTTGTAACTGTTACTGTTATTGCTAATGATTTATGTTTGTTATACGCTATGTTATCATTAATTGGATGATTAACCCTCACAACTCTGGATGCTTCGTTAAAACTATTGCACACTGTCATCATCTTAAGAGGCTCCGTGTAAATGAAGATTTATCACCTATTGCTTATTTGGCAGCCTTGGCTTTGCCTGAGGTCTCAACAAGAACAAAGAAGGAGGGAAGGACAGAGGATCAGGGTGAAGAGCCAAGAGACAGAGGGATGGCTTGGAAATCCATTCTAAGTCGGAGATCTCTCTCAAGAGGTAGAGCCAAGGTTTACATTGCCACCACCCCACATCCAAGAACGGAGGCCATTATCTTCCATTCTGTCTTGGAGTTTGGAATAAGTGCCAAAGGCAGTCCAAATGGGCCCAGTGCCCCCATCTAAATCTTTTCTTTGAGAATGGTACAATCCAAGTAGAACATCCAAGCAGGGATATAAATGAAGCCACAGTGAGCATTTAAACATCAATCACTATCCATGTTCACCACCAATTAAGCATAATCAGTGAGGTAAAATCTCCCCATCTCACCTGTAGCTTCAGAGTATTTGGGCTGTTTGATTGACTGACTTCTTACCTGAGTTTGTGCTCAGCCCTGGGTCCTTTTATCAGCTCTGCTTCCTTTCCCCCACACTCCTATGCCTCTGGGAAAACTTTGGGGTATTTTTCTAGCTAAAGTCAAAACCTCAGTTGGCTGCATGCAACACTTTTTTTTTTTTTTCTCATCAGCTCCCACTCCAAAATGCTTTAATCCAAAAAAAATGTGAGTTGCCATAGTGACTCCTATTGTAGTTGCTAGAAGCTTTTACAAGATGCAGTCATGCTCTTATTATATTTCAGTTTTTTAAATTTCCAGCAACAACAACAACAAAGGAAAGCTTCATTTGCTAGAATAGGAAGTGGAGTGCTTAGCAATGTGCAAGCAAAATGAAAAAGAGCTGAGGAGCGGGTATCATGGGGCCCCTGCAAGACCCCCAGGGAAGGGAGAGCCTTCAATGCTGACTGCAGAGTGAGGCATTTCTAAAGGAGCAGATGCTAATACAGAACACAGATCCTCCTGTTCTCTCTATCTTAAAAGATCGTCTCGATTTCCAGAGGTCTAAATAAACGACTGAATAAGTCAGCCAAAGGAAATCTCTGATGTGTACTTGAAAGACCAGGGGTCGGCAAACTATGGCCCACATGCCAAATAAGCCCTGCCACCTGTTTTTTAAATAAACACAGGCACATAGGCACAGCCATTCCTTTATGTATGGCCTACAGTAGCTTTCACACTACAGTAGCAGAGTTGAGTAGCTGTGCAGAGACATTATCACCCATAAGCATAAAACATTTACTATATTGCCCTTTGTGACAAAGTTGGCTGATCCCTGCTACAGGGCTGGGAAGCTGTAAAAGAGTTAAGGGAGAGGGAGGGTGGCCAAGCACATTTTGGAATCCCATTTGGATATCCACCTGGTTTTCCCTAAAACCTTCTTTACATTCAGATTTAGAGCTCTAAAACATGGGAGGAAGTCAGCTTCCCTCCTGCGTTCGAGCACGTCCTCTGAGGAGCAGATGCCAAGATAGGGTTAGACCACAAAAGATTTGCTGGAGAATAACCCTGTGAGGGGCAGAGCAGGGGAAGCTGGAGGAGGCAGGGGAAGGCTTTGGAGCAGGCTGCAGGTGTGACTCCAGCTGAAGGAGAGGGAAAGCAAGGAGGGTCGGGAGGAAGAGTCTCACACTGGCTACCCAGCTCTAAAGGTTTCAGCCAAGCCTCCAGAGTCTGCAGGCCCGAGTTACCCATAAGAGGAGTCCTGCCCTTGCAGGAATGGACTTGCCTTAGCGCCAGAGACAAGGGTTGGGAAGGCAGCAGCGAGACCTCCAGCACTTACGCTTCACACGGAAGATCCAAGTGGAGCATTTGCGTGACCCTCATCCCCCCGCCTCCAACCCACTACTTCAAATTTAACTTACATCCAACCTGCTCATGACTGTTGAGAGGCTGATGTAAGCGCAGAGCGCTGCGCTGAGTACTGTAATGGGGAGGGAGAGAACAAAGCATAGAAAATTCACTAAGAAGTTCAAAGCAGGGTGAAGATAACTTTGGAATTGTTGATGGAGGAACAATGACCTCTGACTTTTCCCTGCGATTGTTTGTTAGGCTCTCAGACCACACGTAAAGCTGGAAGACTGTCCTCACGACTTTGTTCTGAGCCATCTGACTAGACAGCCCGCAGAAGGGCTTATGGTATGTTGGTTCTCAAGCTCCTGCCCCATGGGGCTTCCTCTCTGAGCACTGTCTAGAGAGATGGCCCACTGATGGAGAGCAGATATTCTACACATGAAGTGGGACAGATGTCAAACTGCTTTCAAGTTTCCAGCTATTATTCCTGCTTTACAATGGAAACAGGCAGGGATGAAAAGGGATTTCAGAAAGATGAATTCATATATTATTTCACACAGTGCAAAGGTTTGCATCCTTTCTTTCTTTTCTTTCTTCCTCTGTCCGACCTCCTTGTGTTAAAATCTGACTGAGGAGTCACTATGGTCACTAACTGATAAATATCATAGCCCAGCATCACTCCAAGAGTGCCAAAATATTGTTAACTAAATATGGGAATGAATTGGGGTTGATATTGATCACGCATGTTTTCTCTCTGTCCCAGCAACTTGAAAGGATGACCCAGAATCTCAAGAACCTATTGGCTATTGCCTTAAAAAGCAGAATTCTTCTAGAATAGCACTTGAGTTTCAGAATTAAAAGACACCTTTCTTCCAGGAAGGAAAATCAACAGGTCAGCCTTCTCCTTCCATTGTGTTCTTACCAATACGTTAAAAATCAAACCAACAGACCCAGATATTTGTTCATCTGGAAACTATGTCACCCATTCTCATGCCCTTGTTCCTCACTGCCATGTAACAAAGCACTGCCACCCTTGTCCCGTTCAATTCTAATTGGTATTAGGAAGGAAATAGGAAAAGGGCAAATAGCTTTCTGCTGCTCCCCAAAAGTTAAAAGCTGGTAGCTTTCAGGGTATCCCACCATGATTCTCTTTCCTTAGTAACAACTTTCTTAATGACAGCTTGCTGGTAGAAATTCTTGCTAATACTGCAGAAAGAAAGACACCCAAATGTCCAAACTTTCGTTTATCATCCATTATACAAAAAGCAGTAAGAACTATATTAATAAGCATCATATTCACAGATATATTTTTCAGGTCAATCATTCATACCTTATGTAAGACCCAGAACTTACTGATGATAGTAATTTTGTAAAAATGTATTCTGAAGTTGAGCCTCCCACGATCTCACCACCCACAGCACCCATTCCAGGAAGAGCAAGGGTGTGGAACTCAAATTTACTGGAGATTAATCAAACAGGAATAATTTTAAAAGATCATAATTAAAGTTAATAAATGATTACAGCTGTCAATATATAAAGAACTCTATCCTTAATAGATTTGTTCTTCTTTCTTCAGTCCTACCTATCATAGAACAAAATACAAATCTGTGCACACATATATATAATACTTATTATATACATATGTACACACACACACACATATATAGAGAGAGAGAGATGTATTTATAGATGTTACTATCAATAAGAAAGTTATCGATTAAGGAAAAATCAAAAGATATTTCCCCTGTGCTGAAACCTACTTCATTTGAGTTCAGTGGTTTCCAAACATTTTAGTGCCACATGCCCTTTAATAGTTTTTTTCTATGTGTCCCATGTTTTGAAATAGTCCATCAAATAACTAGACCTAATTAAATATAAATTCATGCTCTCCATTTCTATTAATCAAGGAACATGTAAGTGTTCATCAGAGCTTCCTCATAGCTTACAATAGTTACCTCATCACCATGAGTTGATATAATTTTAGCTTGAGGACAAAAGACGTGGTTTCAGCCAGCAGCTAGAGCAGCTTTATTGTCAGTAGATATAGAGTTGTTTTAAAAAAATAATGAACATCGCCTGCGAGTCTCCATTACTAACTTCACAAATCCTCAAAGAGCTAGAGACATTGTCGAGAAATGTTGCTCTGAAACAACAGAGCTCTTTCTCAACCTTTTCCACACCCCAGTATTGCAGAGATACAACCCACTCTTATAGGTAACTATTGATTACAGTGACAGATTCTATCCATGCTGCCCCATAGGCAAGAATGTGCTAGAATCTGGGAGAGAAAGTGGGGCCTGTTGAGAGGAGAGAGTGTGTAAGTTGAAGAAAGTGTCACAGGTGACTTTGATTCAACCTTCATTTCATCTCCTTGGTTGAAAATGACTGCTGGAAGTTATATAATTCCTGAATAGAAAGGGAATTTATTCAGTTATGAAACTTAAACCCTTTTCTATGAACCTGAGATGTAGCTGGATTACTAGGGAGATTCTCATGATCTGAAAAATTTTCATTAGTTCCTCTGAACTTTGGAACAGGCAAGTCATACCTTCAGGCACTCCTAAGGTCCAATCACTCTGAGAAGAATACAGTGTGACTCCAGAATTCCTAAAGACTGAGTCTGGTGGGTAGAACATCCATTACATGACGAGCACTCAAAGATTACCCAACACTCTCAAAAAATACAGGGAGGGGGGCTTTCAGGGACTGTGGCCAAATTTCACCGCAAATTCCTCCGCATGCTCCTTTCATTCCAGCTCCTGGGTGGCCTTTTGCTTTGGAGGAAGCTACTTTGAATTTCAGATGCTAAGATAAAACAGCATGAGGATACACACTGAATGTGGGAGGCAAAGCTTATTGTCCCCTTCCCTGTGATTATGAAAAATGCCTCCCACACTCCCAAACTTAACATTCCAAATGAAACAATAAACCTAAAATCCACCAATCTATTTTGGAAATGGTAGTCTTAGATCTGCATGAAGTTGATTTTTATTGAACTTTGATAATCTGCCAGTGTGTTCATCATATTTTCCAGGGAGCTTATTATTAGCTGTACTCAAAGCACATGGACACCTTGAATACATTAGAGTAATCCCCATAGCTTTATCTTTCAAAAGATTTTGAGCTAGAGCTTTGGCTAATTTTATTTTCCAGTGGAAGTCCAACCCTGCCAAGGATTCAAAATTGGAAGCATTCCCAAAACCAAGCCTATTTATTTTCAATACATTATCTTCCTCCTTAGAGTATTGCCAAACCGAAGAATTGTGCAATTTTTAAGCTTGTAGATTATGAAGTTAGCTCCAGGTAGTCGATAATTTGTATTCATGGAGTTAAGAAAGCTACAGCACAGAAGAAGCCTAAGACATAAATAGAAGGTAGCATAAACAACTGATTTCCAAATTGAACAAGGAGGTAAGTTATATCTAAATAACAGAAGGGGAATAGCCTATATCCACCAGACTTCTTTTTTTTTACATTGGAATTCCCTGCATAGACAGCATAATTACACAGAAATGTCCTAGAATAATAGACTCACTCAACAGAATACATCGGGCATCCAAGCTTCATTACTCTGAGACTGTTTCTCACATGAGAGAATGAAGACATGGAATGGCTAAATGCGTATTTCAGGTCACACCATGGTAGACCCAGGCTTTTGGGGCTGAGTTTCTTTCCATTACAATACCTAATTCCATCTGAAGATCCAAAAATGCATTTGATTCTTCATCAAAAGTTACAGGAGTGGACTGAGGAGTAGTAATTCTGGCTGTGGAGGCCACTGAAGAACATAGCAAGTAATGATACAGGAAAGACGAAGTGTTTACTGTACGTGCTGTGGTTGTGCTGTTAGGTGGATGTCAAACTCCTTAGTGCGGGAAACTTCTGGAACTAAAGCTCATTACAGCAAAATATCAATTATTAGCTGTCAATAGAAGATTGACTGCATGTGTTATGTTATACAATAAAAATGACATTGGCTACTCTGCGCCTGCCTGGAAGCTATTCCTCAACTTTGGAGAGACAGAATTGAGAAGAGCCTTCTCCAAAATCAGACATTTTCAATGTAGTGTGAAGTTCTCTACACGGTTACATTTTGGAGATACAGTAAAATCTTATGAAGTTTGGTTCATTTCTCGACATGTGACATAAATAAACTTAATTCCAATGTTAGTACAATTGTATCTGAGCTCCTGACAATCCTCTAATGACTGATGCCTCATTAAAATATTGAAAGAATAGGGGCGCCGGGGTGGCTCAGTCGGTTAAGTAGCTGACTCCTGATTTCAGCTCAGGTCATGATCTCAGGATTGTGGGGTCGAGCCCCACATCGGCCTACGTCAGGCCTCACATTGGCTCTGTGCTGAGTGCAGAGTCTGCTTGAGATTCTCTCCTCCTCCATTTCCCTGCCCCTCTGCTCCTCCCTGTGTGCTCTCTCTCTCTCTCCCCCTCTAAAATAAATCAATAAATAAAATCTTTAAAAAATACATATAGGAAGAAAAAACTCCTAGCACTCTTAGAAGAGACTAGCACCTCCTATATTGTATTGAAATTGAGTTTTATTAGAATATATTCCCTATGAGTTCCCTGAGGACCCTAACAATATCTTATTTACAGACTTTAACATTGAAACTCAAAAACATCAGATCCCTATAATATTTAGTAAAATGATTTTTATTCAATTGAACTGAATATAATCATTTTTTTCTAAATGCAGAGGATTGGATATAGATTAGATGTTCGCATTTCAATGCAGAAATTGTCAGAAAAGTAAATCAAAACGGGATCCGTTGCTATTTTCTGAGGACAGCGATGGCTCATGTGGAAGAGTTAACTAAACCTCTCCCCAAATTACCAGAGTGTAGAAATGACATTGAGAAGTGTCACAGATTACATTTCCCAGCCTCAACTGCAGATAAATGGGAACATATGACTAATCCTTATTGGATTACTAAAGCGGTGAGAAATAGCTTCCCTCGTGTTGAGCTAGACCACAAAATATCACTGTGCCTACCAATTCTGTTTATGAAACTTCATACACAAACATTGTTTTCTCCTGGATACCCTGAACCAGTAGAGTTAACAACCTGTCACTCAGGAGTTGAAATACTGCTTTTGAAGTACTGTATTTATGCAACAGGATTTGCTACTTTCGGCAGAATCCATTATCAAAGTGACTCTGTTGACTTTTATTGCTGGTGGCAGATTTTTGAAGTGTTTATTCAAATCTTTATAAAAACATTGTTATTTTTTCCTCTCCAGTCAAATAAAGGTAGATATCCTTTGACTTTCCTCCCTCCCCCTCTACTCATTCTCCTTCTGCCATCTCCTTCTACTTAGACCCTCTATATACTTAGAGGTGTTGTTTTTTTTTTTCCTCACCAAAAAGCTTAATTTTTAACTGCATTTTTATAATAATAAAATCAGCACTTTTTCCATACCTGATACATTGTTGACAATTGAACAAGTAGGTATTAGCTTGGATGTGATTTATGATTATGTCGCATTCTCTACTGCCTTTAAAACATAGGGAACTCAGACCTGTCAGTGACATCAACTATTAGAAAATATTACTGTGGTGCTGATCCTTTAATGAGACAGTAAATAGAGTAAGTCTTTGATGTTATAAAGATGTACAAATCAAATTTCCTTTGTACATATTCAGCACAAGTTCAGATTTATGCCTTTAATAAAGCACAGCAGTGATCTGGTTGCATATCTGAGAACTGACAATGTGCAGTAGAATTTTCCCTGTGGGTGCCATTTGTCTGCAAGCCATAAAAGTAGAAGGCTACATGGTCCCAATAGAGTAAAAACATTTTCCAAAATCCTGCTGGGTAAGTCAACAGTGAAATGGACTTCTAATGAGGAACTGGGTAGTTAAAAACTCTGGAATCACTCGGTAATCATTTCTATCTGCAAACATTTGTTGTTGGCTAAGTACTATCATACTTCAAGAAATGGTAATATCTTTACTATTTGAATGAAATTTGGCTCCACTTATATTCTGGAATTCTATCTGGCAAAGACTTCCCACATAGCCCTTCTAATCAATGAACTATGCCCAGTACCTACATCTGTAATACTACCAGTGGGATGTAAGGCCCCAAACTCCTCAAGGTAGATTATAAGCTCCTTTGTGATTTAGGTAAGTGTGGTTTTCTAGCTCTTTCTCTCATTCTGCCACGCTTCCCCACAATCACCCCCACTTCAGCACGCATACACATGCACACACCTTCTACTCCCCAGTCGTATGAGCTGTTGGTACTTATTGCATATATTCTTATATACACCTACTTTAGTTCTCAGCTTGAATAGCATTTCTTCCAGAAAGCCGTCTCTCATAGGTTTAATTCCCTGAGAAGAATGATACAGAGATTATCCCACCAGGGGATTTTTAAGGAACTCTCAGGATCCATACCTGTGGGAATAAAAAGAAGAAAAGAAGATTGGACAGAAGTATAGCTGTGAAATTTCAACAGAAACCTGAGCTGACTCCAGGGGAAATTATGAAGCTGACCCATAAGTGCAGTCCCAAAGTGGGGAGAGAGGTTCAGGAATTTACACCCCATGTGAGTCAGGCACTGGGGGCAGAGTGCCCAAAGAAGGAAGAATAACCATGAGCGAGGGCACACTCATCAGTCAAGGCAGTATATGAAGGGAGCCTCGAGCTGCAGGTCTTCTGCCGGGAGGACTCTCAGCAATTGAGGGGATCAGTGATTCCTTCCGGAAAGGTGACCGGGACAGACGTCCCAACACCTACTATAGCCCACCTCTTGCTTCACTCTGATCCACTTCTTTGTAAAACCTGAAAATACTTCATATCAAAATTCACAAGATGCAACGACATCACTCTGTAGAGAGAACTGTATAGCCTTAAGCAAAGGAGCTAAGAATCCCTCACAAGAAGTGAGAAGAAAGTAATTTCAAAGAAAGAGAAGATATTAACAAAATGGAAAACAAATACACAATAGAGAGGGTCACAAGAAACTGAAAAGACTATCGAAATTAATAGGCTGATAGAGAAAGAGAGAAAGGTAGCCATTTTAGTCGTGAAAAAGCATGGCATCATTATAGATTCCACAGACAAAAATTTTTAATTTGTATAAAATAAATTCTTAAGACATTTTAATGTTAAATTAATGAGGTCAGTAATGTAAAACTTTCCACCGCAAAAACTCCGGTCCAGATTGTCTCAGTGCTGTGTTCTACTAAACTTTTAAGGAAAGATCATTCTAATTGCACACAAGCTCTCCCAAAGTGTTGAAAAAGTGTTTTAATTCTCAACTGATTCAACTGATTTTAAGAATTGGTATTGCCTGGTCCCCACAATGTCAGTGAAAGAGAAGGAAGTTAGAGGCCAATCTTACTCATAAATATAAATAGAAAACATTCTAAAGTATTAGCAACTCAGAAACAGCAATATATGAAAAGAATACTATATCATGCAAAGTTGGGTTTATATGCAAATTCCTGATTTGGTTTAACATTTAAAAATTAATTTAAGTTTGTTAAGTCAAATTACCAGCAGACATATAATGCAGAACTTCTAAACTAATTCAAGCAAATAAGAGAATTTTTAAAATCTTGATAAATCCAAGAAGACAGGAAAAGATGGAGGGAGGGGAAAGCACTGGAGAAAAAGAACACAAAATAAGATTGTAGAAATCATTTCAAATATAGCAGCAATCATTACACATACAAATGCACTAACTTGCCAGGTAAAACAGTTTGTCAGATTAGAAAAAAATAAGACCCAGAAGTACTAGCACATTATTTAAATACATGGAAGTAACAACAGTAAGAACTGAAAAATAAAAGGTGTTGCCACTGAGGAGCTGCATTAGGACAAAGGAGCAGCGGAGCTAGGACTTTTCTTCTGATTTAAAATTTTTAAATATTAGAAATCTATACGTCACTACTAGTATTTATCAAGAACTAGGTCTCATCTATTTCCAAATATTCCAATGATTTTTCTCATCTTAAAAGTTTGCTTAAAACTTTTTTGCGTATCTGATTTTTAATGAGTTTGAGTTTTGGTTCTTCTGTATTGGCTTGTAACCATGAAAACAAATTTTGTGCCAAGGAGTTTTAGAACAAGTAAAGTTAGATTCTAGCTCCCAGCAGTTTTTGAAATGAGATTGTCTGTGATGGATCGTTGTCTAAAAAATGAGCTTTCCTTATTTGCTGACCAGGATCATAGCATGTCAAAGACACCCAAAGAATTCTGGAATTTCTGAGACTCAAGCAAAAATAAGTCAAATGTCTCAGTTTAAGCCCAGTGGTAATCACCAAGGCTTACATTTGTGTGAGTGCCTATAAATTGATTGGTGTAGTTAAGTGCGTGTAAGAAACTTTCCAAGAAATAAGATCTAGAATGAGAATCTGAGCAGAGCAGGGATTATGTATAAAATATATAAACTTACCAGTAATTTTTCCTGAATTGTGTGGAATTGGTGTATATGTGTCAGAGGCACCAAATGATTTGAGGAATCAACTTTCATATTCTCTTTATTTAAGAAAAAAAAAGTTCAGTGTTTCTATCAATAGAAAAGACATTAAAGATGAAAGAAGATAAACTATTTTAAACAATAATAAATAGTGAACACTTCTATAATGTTTGCTATATGCCATATCCTCCAATCTAAGTGATTTTTACACATTAATTCATTAAATCTTCACAACCTACGAGAGAGTTGCTAAAATTATACTCACTTCAGAAATGAGGACATGAGAGGGAGAGGTTAATAACTTTTCCAAAGTCATCCAGGTCAGAGGTAGAGCCAGGTTTGAACACAGACATATGGTTGCATCATTCGTGCTCTGAACCACTCGGAGAGAAAGATCACACATATAGATTATGGAAAGTTGGGAAAGTGGAGGAAAAAGTCACCCACAACCTCTTCATTCTTATGTAACTACTGCATATTGTATAGTTTCTTGACACCTTTTCGATATTCATGATTTTGTATCATGATTATTATGGGACATGTTCTGTACTTGGGCTTCATTAATTAACATACTGTAACCATTCTTTCCAGGTTTTAGAATAATCATTATAATATAATTTATGTCTTCATATTATCCAATCCTGCAGATAGAGTGATTCACTTAACTGCTCTATTATTGGACATTAGACTGCTCCACTATTTTCCTTTGTATGTGTATATAACCCTATCCTCAGCATCTTCATGAACACGGCTTTTACCATGCTTCTAATTATTTCCTTAGGAAACATATCCAGAAGTGGAATGATCGAGTAATCAAGAGTGAGTTTTATAATCCACTTCTTTTCTTTAAAACATCTAAAATGCTTCTATTTTTCCCAAGCATTGTGTGGTTACTAGGTTGTGAGTCCTTAAAATTGGTCAAATACTAAACCCAACCCTTGCAATTGCTTCCTGTCAGTTACCTGTTACTCCTACCAGGGGCTAACAGATTAGAAACCCTAATTTGTAGCCTTATTGAAAATCACTAATCTTTCTTTTTTAAGCTGGCAACAATGTTATCTAGGTTCTTTATTTGGCACACAAAATTTTATACAGAAAACTACAATTTCTGCCAGCATAACAGAGTCCTTTTGTTTTGCCAAAGGAAGATTGAAACTGATGATTTTCATAGTTGAAGTAGATTCTATGGAGATGAAGCAGATTCATGGAGACGTTTCCTTCTAACAGCAGGATCGAGCAAAGCTGCCATGAAACTGTACCCATTGTAATTGTACTTGCTCTGCCCTAAAAGCTGACAAGTAAAGCTCCAGAGAGCTAAGCATTTCAACTTCTTTTTTTTTTTTTAAATGTGCTGAATTACTGAATCAACACAAACACACATAATAACCTTTTTGTTCTGGGTCCAGTATTTTGTAAAATTATAGAGAAGACAATTTTGGAACTGAAAAAGAACTTAAAAATATTCATCTGTTCAATTCCTTATTTTATAGATGAAGAACATGAGGCCCAGAAAGTTGAACATACCTTTTTTAGACATCACAGAGAATTAATGGCAAAGTCAGACTGGAACTGAATGTCCTCACTCCTACTTCCTCTTTCTCTACTTTTAAGATTTGAGAATTGGTACCATCGAAGTCCAGGAAGACCTAATTCTACAAAAAGTAGGGCCCTGCAATCATAGGAATCAGGCTCAATCTTATATCGAGAATGTATGATATTAAAAAAAATTTTCAGTAAATGCAGGTCAATAAACTTGTTGATGTATCTTGGTTATCACATGGTGAAGGGCATATGGCCATGATATTAATTAATTTAGGTCACAGAATTTATGATGATCACAATGACCCACTGTACAGTGAGATAATTGGTCTTCCTGAAATATGTAAGATAGAGCCTATGATGAAAGGATTTTTAAGTAATTATTATATTCCCAAAAGAATAATTCACTAACATAGGCATAGGCTGAATCTCAATTTTTAATTACTACAAGTTAGGCAATATTATTACAGGTGAAGAGCTGTCTGAAAGTTTAGAGAGGCTGCACCATTGCCAGACAACAGTGCTACTGAGAGTAGTCTTTAAACCAGTAACATCAGCTTCACCTGGGAGCTTGTTAAAAACACAGAATCAGCCTCACCTAAGCCCATCTGCAAATAGAGTCCAAGGATCTGTGTTTTAACAAGCTCTCCAGGTGATTCCTATGCATGTTAAAGTTTAAGAAGCATCGTTCTAATAGCAACATTCTCAACCTTTTTGCACATGGAGATGGCATGGGGAACTTTTAAAAATAGTTATGCCTGAGTCCCATTCCAGATAGCCTTCAGCCTACCCAGCTCCCCTAAGGTTTAGAATAGGGGTATCCAAAGTGAGTGAATACAATACAACCATTAGAATATAGACATAAATATCAGAACTTCTATTTTTATTTCTTTTAAATTTCGATGTTTTAAGATTTATTTTTGCTTGTGCTTACGCTCTTCATAGCATTAATATAGTAACACATGCATAAAATTTATAAATATTATTATAAATACAGATGATGCCTTTCTTTAATTATCATACTTCATAACATGAACTTGATTGAGTGTGCATGAAAATCACCTGGGAAGCTTATTAAACTACAGATTCCCGGGGCCTACCTGCCAGAGATAAATTCAGTTAGCCCGAGTTTGTGCCCAGGCATCTACACTACAAGACATACCCCAGATGATTCTTACATAAATGCTCCATAGACCACTGTTTAAGAAACATTCATTTAGAACCACATCCTATTTCAGTTACAGCAAAAATAGAGCTGTCTGGGAAGGCAGAACACCCATTCAGGACCTCCAAGGGTGGTAGTACCTCAGGGGGATAATCATGGTCAAAGGCACAAACCTCATCTATGAAGAACAGTAGCACACTCTCATCAGTTTCCTGGGGCTAACCCTGGTTACAAAGACAGCTGTGTAATCATGAATATCAATGGATAGCTTTATAACGAGAAATATAACTTTTAGTCAGACCATGGTGGACCTTATTGGTTGGTACTGCAGTATGGTACTGTAGAAAACCAATGGAATGTAAAATTATAATAATAAATTTGCTTCTTTAGCTTAGAATCAGAGTAAGGAGAAATAATTATAACAAAGTTTTAAGAGTTGTTGCCCTCAAAATATGACACATGGTATACTGCCAAAAGGAGAGGAAGAATTAGACCAAATATAAATCTAAATGATATAAACACACCAATTTAAAGATAAATATTGTCAAGTTGTGCTAAACAAACCAACTGTAGGTTTCCTACAAGAAATATACTTACAAATATGTTAAGAGTAAAAAGATATAAAAAGAGGTACATGTTAACAGTAATCAAAAGAAAGCTGGAGTGGCTATATTAATACCTGATTATATATTTTGGATATTAACCCCTTATCTAATATGTGATTTGCAAATGTTTTCCCCTATTTTGTAAGTTGCCTTTTCTTTGGTCATTTTGTTTTGTTTTGGTTGATTGGTTTTTTACTGTGCATAGCTTTGTAGTTTGATGTAGTCCCATATGTTGTTGTTGTTTTAAGATTAATAATATTGGTAAATCCTTAACTAGTCTTATCAAAAAAGAGAGACAGGTTGGGGGTATGACAAAAATTTAAATATCTAGAATTGAAGAGGAGACATCACTACAGAAGCTAGAGAAATCAAAAAGATAATAAGGGAATATTATAAACAGCTATATACCAATAAATTTGACAACTTAAGTGAAATAAACAAATACCTTGAAAATTACCAGCTGCCAACGCTTTCTCAAGAAGAAATAGACAACTTGAATAGCTCTATAGCTATTGAAGAAAATAATTGTGTACTTACAAATCTTTCCACAAAGAAAACTCAGGGCTTAGATGGCTTCACTGGGGAACACTACCAACACTTAAGGAAGAAAAAAAAAAAATCCCAATTCTACACAAAATGCTCCAGAAAATAGAGAAGAAAACACTTCACAAAACATTTCACAAGGCCATCATTATCCTATAGCCAAAATAGACAAAAATATGGCAAGAAAGAAAACTATTAATATATCTCTCATGGATACAGATACATAAATCCTTAAGATTTTAGCAAACCAAATTCATGCATAATACATCCTGACAAAGAGTGATTTATTTCAGGGATACAAGATTGTTTTAATATACATATTCAAAAATCAAATATTCATCATATAATCAGACTAAAAAAAAGACTCATATGAACATCTCAATAGATGCAGAAAAGGCACATTTCAAAATTCAATATCCATTGATAATAAAAAACTTAAAACAAACTAGGAACAGAAGAAATTCTCCTCAACTTGATAAAAAGCATTTGTGTAAACCTATAGTCAATACCATACCCAAAGGTAGAAAACTGAACGCTTCTCTCTCTAAGATTGAGAATGAGGCAAGGATGTCTACATCATCACTTCTACTAAACATTGTATTAGATGTCCTAACAAGAGCATTACATCAAGAAAAAGAAATAAAAGGCATACAGATTGGAAAGGAAGATAACATGATTGTCCGAGAGGAAAATTCTAAGTGATTTATGAAAATATCTTAAAGTTTAATATCTGAGTTAGCAAGATCACAGGATACATAGTTAACACAAATATCTGTTATAGTTCTATTTGTTAGCAATGAACAACTAGAAATTTAAATATCTCATTTATAATAATATCAAAAACTTCAAATATTAGGGATACAGCTAACAGAATGTGTGTAAGACCTGTACTCCGAAAAATTCCAAAACATTGCTGAGAGAAATTTGCAAACACTAAAGCGCCTGGGTGGCTCAGTAGGTTAAGTGTCCAACTCCTGGTTTCAGCTCAGGTCGTGATCTCGGGGTCGTGAGATTGAGCACCACGTTGGGCCCCATGCTCATCACAGAATCTGCTTGAGATTCCCCCTCTCCCTCTTCCTCTGTTCCTCTTGCTCATGTTTTCTCTCTCTCTCTCTAAAACAAATGAATGATGGGCATTAAAGAGGGCACATGATGTGATGAGCACTTGGTGTTGTATGTTGTACGTATGATGAATTATTGAACTCTACATCTGAAACCAATGATGGCTAATTGAATTTAAATTAAAAAATTTAAAAATAATATAAAATAAATGGGAGAAATAAATCATGCTCATGAATCAGAAGTTTGTATTTTTAAGATGTCAATTCTCCTCCAAATCCATCTGTAGATTCCCTGCAGTCTTTATCTAAATCCCAACAGATTTTAGCAGAAATTATCAAACCGATTCTGGAATTTATATGTAAATTCAAAGGATCAAAAATAGCTAAAATAATATTGTAAAGATGAATAAGATTGGGGGACTTACACCACCTGATTATAAAACTTAATATAAACCCAGAGTTAATCAAGAGTGTGATATTGACATAAATACAGATGAACAAATTTAACGTAATAGAGAATCAAGAAGTAGACATAGACACATATATAGTAAATTGATTTCCAAGGTAGAGGTTAGGGTAATTCAGTAGAGAATAATTATATTTCAGCAAATGATGTTGGGACCCTGTATTGCTATATGCAATAAAATGAACCTGTATCTTTTTCTCACACCATACACATACTACTCAAAGCAGATTATAGATGTAAACATAATGGATAAAATTTTAAAACTGCTAAAATAAAATATAGGAAAAATCTGTGTGAACTTGAAGAAGTAACAGATTTATTTGATGAAATATAACAAGTATTAAATATTTTTAAATGATAACTAATATTAAATTAAACATATTTACTCTTCAAAAAACTCCGTTAAGAAGATAAAAGACAAACCAGAGTAGGAGGAAACATTTGCAAAACCTGTATCTGATAAAGAGCTTGTATTCTGAACATATGCAGAATACTTAACAGTTGATAATAGGAAGATAGACAACCCAATTTTTAAAAGCAAAAAATGCAAACAGAAACTCCATCAAATAAGCACATTATAAGATGTTAGCCCCATGATTTATTAGGGAAATGCAAATGAAGACCACAATTACATATCCGTACACACCCAACCCAATAGCTAAAATTTCAAAGAATGACAATTCCAAGTCTGGGCAAGGATGAGCACCAACTGACTCTCACATATCACTAGTTAGAAGGAAAAATGATATAACTACTTGGGAAAACAGTCCAACAGTTTCATATTAAATTAAATACACACAGCCTTTCTCCACGGGCATCGGCACCCCTGCGTGCTCCTCCTTCCTGGCCATGGCCTTCACGTTGGCGGCCTTCTGCTACATGCTGGCGCTGCTGCTCACCCCCACGTTCATCTTCATTGCCATCTGGCACATTGTAGCATTTGATGAACAGTAGACTGATTACAAGAATCCTACAGACCAATGTAATACCCTGAATCCTCTTGTACTTCCAGAGTACCTCATCCATGCTTTCTTCTGTGTCATGTTTCTTTGTGCAGCAGAGTGGCATATGCCGGGTCTCAATATGCCCTCCTTGGTGTATCATATTCGGAGGTGTATGAGTAGACCAGGGATGAGTGGACCAGGACTCTATGACCCTACAGACATCATGAATGCAGACATTTTAGCGTATTGTCAGAAAGAAGGCTGGTGCAAATTAGCTTTTTATCTTCTAGCATTTTTTTACTGCCTGTATGGCATGATCTTGATCTATGTTTTGGTGAGCTCTCAGAACAACACACAGAATTGGTCCAAAGTGCATGCAAAAAGCCACCGAATGAAGGGATTCTATCCAGCAAGATCCTGTTTCCAAGAGTAGCCTATGGAATCTGATCAGTTACTTTAAAAAGATGGCTCCTTATTTTTTAAATGTTTCCACATTTTTTGCTTGTGGAAAGATTGTTTTCCTATGTTATACTCGGATAAAGAATTTAAAGGGAATTATGTATAAGTTAATATAAAATGATGACCTCTGGTGTTGACGGGTTTGAACTTGCACTCCTTAAGAAACAGCCATAATCCCTTGAATGATTGCATTAATTATTGACTATCCTTAGTCCACTGGAAGCTTATGTTATATATAAGGACTTGTAGGGCTCATTTTGGCTTTATTGAAATGCCATCTAATTATAAATTAGCTGTAGATATCAGGTGCTTCTGATGAACTGAAAATATATATCTGCCTTGTGGGAAACTTCCTAGGTTTCCTCATTTATCATGTATGTGATTATATATGGACACATTTACAAAATAAGAAGAGTGGGATTTTTTTCCCCTTCAACTTGATATTATCCCTGTATATTGCATGAATGAGAGATTTCCCATATTTCCATCAGCGTAATATACTTGCTTTAATTCTTAAGCGTAAGTGAACATGATATAAAAATATAGGCTGAATTACTTGTGAAGAATGCATTTAAAGCTATTTTAAATGTGTTTTAATTTGTAAGATACCACTTATTAAGAAATTGGTTATTATACTTAACTGTTCTAATCTGGTGGTAAAGGTATTCTTAAGAATTTGCAAGTACTGGGGCGCCTGGGTGGCTCAGTTGGTTAAGCGACTGCCTTCAGCTCAGGTCATGATTCTGGAGTCCCGGGATCGAGTCCCGCATCGGGCTCCCTGCTCGGCAGGGAGTCTGCTTCTCCCTCTGGCCCTCCCCCCTCTCATGTGCTCTCTCTCATTCTCTCTCTCTCAAATAAATAAATAAAATCTCTAAAAAAAAAAAAAGAATTTGCAAGTACTTTAGATTTTCAAAACTGAATGAGAGAGGACATTGTATAACCGTCCTGCTATTCCTTTAGTGCAATACAATAAAACTCTGAAATTTAAAAAATAAATAAATAAATAGGAGCACCTAGGTAGCTCAGTCATTAAGCGTCTGCCTTCGGCTCAGGTCATGGTTCCAGGATCCTGGGATCAAGCCCCACATCAGGCTCCCTGCTCCCCTGGAAGCCTGCTTCTCCCTCTCCCACTCCCCCTGCTTGTGTTCCCTCTCTCGATGTCTCTTTCTCTGTCAAATAAATAAATGAAATCTTTAAAAATAAATTAAAAATAAATAAATAAATAAATACATACATACATACTTACTATATGACCCAAAAATGTCACTCCTGGGGGTTTCCTCTCCCCCTCCCCCCAAGAAAACCCATGCATGTATACCAAGACTTATTATGAATATTCATACTAATTTTATTCATAATAGCAAACACTGGAAATAACCCAAATTCCTCAGACAGTGATGGCGAAGCAAACTGTGCTGTATCTATACAATAGATTACTACTCAGAAAGGAAAAGGAATTACTTACACAGGCAGCAGCATGGATGAATCTGAAAAGCATTTCGCATGCTAAATAAAAGAAGGGAGAGTAAAAGACCATTTGAGTCAATTCATGTAAAATTCTAAGAAATGATCAAACTATAGTGACAGGAAGTAGATCCTGGGTTGCCAGGCCCGGGACTAGGGAAGAGCTTGACTATAAGAGGCACAGAGGAATTTGTTGAGGTGATGGAAATGTGTTATACTTGGACTTGGTGGTGGTTCCACATTAGGATACATTCATCAAAACTCATCAAATGATACACGTAAAATGGGTGAACTTTATCACATGTAGATTATACTTTGGTACAGTTTAAAAGAACAAATCTTAAAAAAAAAAAAAAAGGTAGGCATGAGACCCTGGCTATTTCATTTGTTCCTTCCTTCTGGCCACAGGGATTGTTTTGTGGACTGTACATTTGATCTGTGACAAATGAGTATCAGTCCTTTGCCTTTTGTAGTTCTCTTTCTTCAAGTTATTTAACCAGTCAGATGTAAGCCTGGAGCTGATTCTAGCCCTCTTGCCACCATGACAGTGAGACACCCAGAGAAGGAATCTGTACTCTGCGCTTTCACACTGAAATCCTTGTCATCACCCCTTGTAATCTGACATACGTATCAGCGCTCCACTTTATAGATAAGAAAACGGAGGGCTTGAAAGTTTCGTTTTCCCAAAGTCACACAACCAGCAAATGGCAAAGCAGTGCCCTGGATCTATATGATGCCAAATCTCAAGCTCATAACT